AGATATACAGTACCTTTGAGCTGTATCCAAAAAACATGACTTAAATAAGTAAACACCATTTTACATGTAAAGGATTTATGAAAAATGTCACTTTATAAGTAAAGAGGCTTTAATTTATCCTGTCTTTCCAGAAATATTCTTCTAAAATTTTGAAATTATATAGAAAATTAAAATATTTTCCAAGTTATTATCATAATATATAATCAAAAAAGGGAGAAACAGTGCCCCCCCAAAGCCAGTGGTTGGAAAAGCGGTGTTAAACCCAACAAAAAAACTATAAAAAATCATAAAAAAATCCATAGTTTGCAGTAAAACCCCCCCCCCCAAATTTTTTTTTTGAGATGATTTACTAAATAATTCAAAGAAAGAAAAATCTTTAAACCTTAATGCTATATAGTGAGACAGTGAAAATGCCACTAAAATGCTTAAATAAGCACAGATTCATACCAAACCTGGTAATATTGACTGTTATTAAAGGATAAATAACTGGTTCAAATTTGACTTGGATTGTTTTAAAACTTTTTTTAAAACAACAATTTGCTGTAAATACACAACAACTCTTGAAAAATTGAGTGATAGACTTTTAAGAAGAGCTATGTTAAGTGTACCATCAAACAAGTAGCTATTAAAGGAATCTATTCTAAAAATCCTATCTCTTTTGGGCAAATGGCTGATTTATAAGAAATACTTTTAGGAGATTAATTCTTTTGTTGTTTGGTTCAAAATGAACGACTTCCTGTGGGGTTTAGACCATGGCCCCAAATCAACTTTTTGTAGGTACTGGGCTCATACAGATATGTGCCAAATTTCATAATCCTTGGAAAGAGCATGGCTCTGGGCTGATTGATTTTCTGTTCAAATGGCCAACGATTAAGTAAGCACACAAACTCTGATGGGAAACAAATGTGTACAAAGTTTCATGATTCTTGGACTAATCATGGCTTAAGGCTGACGATTTGAATTATTTTAATTCTAGGGGGCACCGTTGTGAAATTAAGCCACAAAATATTGCTCTGGATTCCTGTTTGGGGTTGGACTAAAATAATCTCTTGTGATTTTGGTCCAGATCTAAATATTAATGAGGAAATGAGAGCCAATCGTATTTTCATGGCGAAATACCTCACTTTGTCAGGTCGCCATGGCAACAGTTTTTTAACTAAAACTCTGTGCTTTAAACAAAGTTAGACCAACATGTTTTCTGCCTTCTTACCTAGTTTCAAGGTGATCAGATAAAAAATGACAGAAAGGGACCCTCCCAAGTGAAAAAAGTGACTTTCCTCCCTCTGGGGCAGGGCTTTGATGATGTTACCATTTGACCAGCCAGTATCGTAAAGCAACCAAAAGGGCTCCTTACTGCCTAACTTGGTTGGATTAGGATCATTTTTTTGTTAGTTATTCCATTTCAAATTTCTCAAAAAGTACCCTAACTTAAGGGCCCTGGAGGACCCTTTCAGCATGCACGAAAACCTAAAAAAAAGATCATTTCTGATCTGACATGCCTTATCTGCATATACAACAATTTTCAAGCCGATGGCTCAAAATCTCTAGGAGTTAATTAAAGTTCAACTTAACAAAATTTTAAAAATAGCAACAATCGGCCTTTGACCTAAAATGGCCGACTTCATACAGGTTTTAGAGCATACCTCCAATCTACCTACCTGCCAAATCTCAATACTCTGTGACTGTTTTCCTTTTGGCCACACCCATTTTTTATTAATTTCAAATATGTACATTTTCGCAGGGGGACAATTTACTGCCAAGTTTGGCAACATTTTGAACATGTTAAAGCCTCCTAAAAGCCGCTTCTTTTGTACGGAGAAAAATAATAAACAGTAGAGATACAATAGCCAAATAATTCATAAGAAAGGACAAGGTTTTGGCCAAGTAAAAGTCCAGGCTTTGGTTCAGTTAAGAGCATAAATCATTCATGCTTAATAAAACTTTCTGTGGCTGATATTAGATCTCGATTCAGCAGAAGAGTGGATCAAAATTCTTCAACACACCTGAAGGCTCCCATTTCCAGATATTTCTGACACTTGATGACAAATGGCCAGGCTGAATATGGCTACATTACTGAAAAAAAAACCTACAGTACATAATTTGAAAACTGGATTTGTATAAATTATTCATGTTAGGTGTGTATTGTATAAAATTGTATTTATTGATGCAAGATATTCTGTTGAGGTTAAAAAAGAAAAACAAATGACATCTTACAGGAGGGGAGGAAGTTTTTTGCAGCTATGTTCACTGCAGTGAGTTTTCTAAACAGGTAAATGGTTGGGAGCAAGGAGGAAAATTATTAAACTGAGTCTAGGGTTTGTGAGCTCTCCTGCAAACAAAACCTTCGTAAAAACAGGAAAAATATTTTTTCTTTTTGTGTGCACATTTAAATAATAAAAAAATAAAAAAAACAACAAAGCATCTAATTCTCCCCATTTCTTTTTTATTGTTGATCAATATCCATCACAGGGAATTCCTTTCTAAGATATACATCCGCCCCCCATCTCTATATGTCCCCTTAAACAAACTCCTATTCTCCACAATTACAATGGTTCAAAAACACAGTAGTCATGTATGTTTCGTACAGGTATAAACATGGGTTTTCAGGGAGGCTATGATGGCAGTCGGAGCCATAGCCAGAGAGCTTTGGAATGGTTTAAGTACAATACACACACACAGCGGGTAAAATAAATCATATGCACAGCAAGATAGGCTGAAATCAATAAACAGAAATGAAAAGCTGAATAATTCATGTGTGCTTTGATGAGTGCAGGGATCAACACCCAAACTTTGATGTCTAGCAAAACCAAATGATCACGAAAGGTCATTTACAGCACATTCTGCTTTATGGGTTTGCAGTGCTTACGTAATGAACGTCTTTACTCAGATCAGACATTTAACATATTATTCACATAGTATTCACAGAACAATATAAATCTGTATGTACATATTCCTTCCACTCTCAAGGAAAAAAGTGTCCAGGCACTTTCTCCAGCAAGTCTGGAGCCAGATCATTAATTGTTATTCTTTAGCTTCTCATCAAAACTCAAAATACTTTACTTTGTATGTGTGTGTTTGTGTGAATAATCCTTCACACGCTCACGCCAAAATAAAGTGGACTGTGAGCAGCAAACTTTCAGCAGAGTATGTCTATAGCTGCCATTTTTCAGCTTCATTGAACTTCTGGCTTTTTCTTTGCTTATCAAGGAAGGTCCTGCAGCCAAGGTCTTCACCTCCACCAAGAAACCCTTTTTATCTCAGAAGAGATGGGTGAGCACACGCTTTAAGTGGTGATAATACAAAGTAGTATATATTAGTTGTTCTAGAAAAGAAGATCTATAATGTATTAGGCATGGGTTGGTTTCAAACTGAGGAAGGCAAATATGTAAAACATACTCTAATTATTATTACTCATAAACAATCTAATTTTTTTTTTCAGCTTTGTTGCTGAAATATAATATATTGATCATTATAACTCTACAAAAATGTATTCCAAGAAATGTATATCTATTCAGAAGAAATATGCATGAATTTTATTAGAAGGCTTAGACATAACAGAAAAATGACAAATGAGTGTTTGGATAGTTTTGCATTTTTAAAATCAGTTTTGAATTTAAAAACCTAAGTTTATGTCTAAACTCAGTTAGTGTTACTGAAAACTATAAGATAAATGTGTTAAAACTGTAAGCTAGAAATATGTTTGTGCAGGCCTTTCCACCTTAGCTTGAGATATTTTATTACTTTTTTATGTACAAAAATGGCATGAGGCTGCTCATTCCAGCCGTGCGTCAGTTTGAACCAGTCTGGGAAGTCTTTTAAGATTGGAGGATAATGCAGACTATCTTCTTCATTGATTATTCAAAATACTTAACGAAAAATATAAATAAGCTAACAAGCAACAGCTAAAGTTAGAAGAGCAACACAATCTTGCAGCATCATATACAGTAATGTGAAATGCTGATGAAATGTGCATAATGCTACACCAAAATAGCAAAGTTTTACTCTTTTGAATTCTTCACTGTAGCTTTGAAAGGCCAAAGGGACTATTTCTATTGCTGCTCTAGTTATAGGAAAATATTCTATACAGTTTTTCAATTTGTTAGTTGTATGTACCATACTAGAAAGGTCTTGTCATGTATTTATATTCAAAATATAATGACAAGACTTTCTGCCTCTTGATGATTCATCAGATTATAATCTAGGGCCAAATCGTTGCTTTTCTTTTACTTGGATTGTAAAGAAATGCTCCTAAATCTAAACCTTTAGCTCTCGGACTTGTAAATAGGGAATGGAATATCTTACCCCAAATACAGACACTTTAAAGCAGTGAACATATACAGATTAGAAAATTAACAGTAAAATAGTTCAGTCCTTTCTTTAAGAATTTAACCAGACCCAGTTTAGAAATCACAAGTCCAGTTGAAGCTAAAAAAAACAGCAAAATAAATTGTAAAAAAAAAAAAGTCATGATGTGACAAACAATAAAAACAAAGGACATCATAATATCACGTTAAGTCTTCAGCATGCAAGATGTTGTCCTTAAGTAAAAAATGTCTTGTAAGGTAAATATCTTTCCCTACCCGTTTAGACCTGGCCCTTCATTAAATTGAATAAAGCACATTACTGTAAATACATGTCTTATTATTTAAACATGTGTAAAGCTGTTTTGTCTCTGATTAAAAAAAAAGTGCAATAAATTAAACAGGAAACCAGCCCATGCCAAGAAAAAAAAGTTTCTGTTATATTTAGAAATGTTGCTGGTTGGGCCAACTAATAGGATGAACCATATTCCTTATTCTGACCTCATGCAGGCAGACAGATCCGGTTGTCAGCAACATTGACCTGTAGCTGAAAAATATATATAACTCTTCTTCTTCTTTTTTAATACAGTATCTGATAGCCATGGAGCAGCTTCTGAAGTCAGAAGTTATTCCTTTTCTTTACCATATTCTTACCAAAAATAGGATGGAAATCCACCAGTAATGCTGATGGATAAGAAGTTGTTTCCCTCTGCACAATCTTAATGCAGCTCTTTATTAATACAGTACATATTTACTCAACAACAATAACAACAACTAATTTCATGTCAAAAAATCTCTAATTCCCACACCTGAAATGTTCAAATTGAAACTGATTTAGCTTTGATAGTTTACAGAATAACCTAATAATTCAGACAACGAAATAGTAAAACCAGGTAACGCTGCACTGGTAAGACACATCACCACAGTATTCATGGAACATCAGTTTTCACATCAGCACTATGGCAGCTCAGCACAGTTTCCTGCTGATCCTTTTTCTTTTGCATGGGGGTATATAAAATACAAACAATCACTTGCATGATACAGTTCAGCTGCATGTTTGTTGACATACATCGAGATGAAGTAGAAGAACAAAGCAAAAGGATTCAAGTCAGTCAGTCAGTCAGTGGGATTGGCACTGTGAGAGTAATGAGACATGAATCTCTCTTCGTGGTACCAGAAGTCCTGCTGCGCTGCCTGGAAATGCCCGGCTGTAGCACACATGGTAATCCAGCACACATGTAAGGGCAAAACACATCACACTGCAATACTATACAGTTTATTCTGCAATGCTGCTTAATTCTGGAGAATGGAGACTTTAAGTTCGGATTCTGAATGAGCTTTTCTCCAGCAGTATAAGTTTTAAAATTCATGTTTAGATTTAAAGATTTTTTTTATTTTTTTTTGGTTACCATTATACAATAAGGCAGTTTATGGTACTGTACATAAGTCATGCCACAATCACAACGGATTGTTTTTGCAGAGAGCCATTTGGAAAAAAAAAATGATTTACCCAAGTTTGAGTAAGTCAGCTCCAGCTTTGGAATAACCAGCCAGTCTCCATCCTGTTTGAAGAAAAATGACGCATAGCCATGGGGAACGTTCCTTAAGGTAGGGTCTGGATGTTGTATTTAGCACAAGAGGTTCAGTCCAAGAGGCAAAAATAGACCAGGTGAAACAGATATATCAAAAGGAGATACACATCACCAACAAGAAGGAAATAACTATTTTACATTAAAGGTTAAATGTTAGAACCTTTTTTTTTTTCCCTCAACATTCCTTCTGTTAGTTCAAGGCCGAGTCCAGAGGTCCATATTTTAAAGACGAAGGGAGGACACCGGTTGGCTCCAAAGCACATCTCCCACGTAGGAGGGAACCGCTGCAGCTGTCATAAACATTTAGCTGCTATCTGTCTTCAAAGCAGTCCAAGTACTCCAGGACAAGGTCATAGCAGAATCGATACTGGTCCTAAAAGAATAAATAAAAACACAGCCAGAAATTGTTATTTCTCTCTTTACTGTTCATTTGTAATAAAAAATATTTAACTCTTTTTTTCTTACCAGGGACTCCACCATGTTAGGTTTACAGTTACGTAAAGTTTTGACAGCATAAAAGATGTCCGCCATGTTCTGGTACTGGATCATCTCCAGGAGGATGTTGCAGGCACAGAAGGTCCCACTACGACCCCCACCATTGCTACAGGTAAGTATAAAAAGGATTTTAATGAATGGCAACACCTGTGAAAAACTCTTTTTTCTCATTATCTGTCAGTCTTCATCAAAGGCAGTACGCAGTGAGAGTAAAGGAATATGATTTCATTAAAGAGCATTTTGGTATTTAAGGTTTGCAGTCTTTTTGTTGTCTTCTTTTTCCAGCAGCCACTAGCATCTTTTGACCTTAGAATTTACAAAACGACATGCTGTTAAGCAGCTTGTCATATATCTTTTCTTCCTCCCTTAAAATGTTCATACAGCTATACTAGACCAGAGAGCTAAAATATCAACACAGAGTTTTACACCTAAAGCAATTCAGTGAGTATTTGAATGAGCATCATTTAGAAGCATCAATATATGGGGGGAAAGAGAGAGAGAGAGGAGGTGGAAACATCCCTTCAAAACCTTCTCGGTACATATAAGACTTAAGGAAAATGTGTTTTGCTCTGAACTTGAGATAACGTTTTAATGCTTATTGAAAGAGCTGTCAGAAATCCTCTCTTCTCATAAATACAGACTGTTTGGAGCACTTGGTCTTCGTTCAGTGGACGGTAATTTGTTGCTGCCCCCCAGGTGGGTATAGAAGTTGGATGGATAGGTATTTTTAAGTTTGGCTTTATTTATTCAGGTACATTGATGGGTTGAGGTCTTATTCTTTATTCAAAACTACTGTTAGAAACTTGTCGTGTAACACAGAATGCATCCAGTATGTGTGTCTGTGTGGAAAAGGAGCGCATTGCAATTCTTAGTATTGCATAATTTGCATAATCTCAACAGAATTGATCAAAACTTGTGAATGTTGATCATTGTGAAGAATTTGCACACATCATTCATACTTTTTCATAGTACATTCCTACTTTTAAAGCTTGCAAACTAGATTAAGACTGTATTGAAACATGTTTCTTCTTTTTTTTTTCCATCAAAAAAGTTATTTTATATATTTCGTACTCTTTTAGTTTTATTCTTTTGTGCTGGACTATATATATTAGCTAATTTAACAGTTCCCAGGACCCATTTACAACTCTCTGCTTCCCCCAAAGGGCCAAATGTTGGCTTAGCTTCGCATGTCTGTGGTTTATGCAATGATCTTAGATTTCAGCTGCATTCTTTCTAAATCTAAGTTCAATAGGTTCAGCAGTGGTGTAACTAATACCTTAAAAGAAAGCATCATTGTGGTGAAAAATTAGTAAAAATTTCCAGAGGGAGTGAATATAAAGCTCAGCTGCCCCACTTTCTTCCACAAAAACACCTACTGCCTGTTTGACCCATTATATACTAGTGTGTCGCACTCACAACCATGACAACCAAAGCACAAGCATGGCTGCAGACACAATCACAGTGACAAGCCGTGTCATCCCACCGACACAGTCATAATCACAGCTACAGTCTAAATTAGTCAGTGCAGCTTTTGTAGTGAGACATGGATGAATCAACTCTCCAAGTTCTGTTTCTAAATGCAGAGGTTCAGAGTTGTGCATGAACATACACACAGTTCAGGGCAAATCCTGTGGCTACAAGCGGGATCATTTAAACACACACAGCATGTAGGACTGAGTCAATCTTGTGTGGATCAAAGGGAAAGGAAAAGGAGCTGCAAGTTTAAAAAAAAAAAGTGAGGAATAGCAAAACATCATGCAAGAAAACACAAAGCTTCAAGAAATAATAGACGCTGACCCCCTGGGATCCCCTCACATGTATCGTTCCGGTTAAGAATAATACAATTTTCATAATTCTCTTAGTACTTCACAGAGCAAGGAGAAAGGACAAGTGAGATATAGTTCAGCCTACTATTTCAGGCTCCGGTATGTCAGCAAAATATAGCTGGATTGCCATGAAATTTCACTTAGCTAAGTTTTGATTATCCCTGAAGGGTTTGTCCTCTGAGGTTACCACCAAATTCAATATGAGTCTCAATTTTCCTCTAAGAATAAACAATTCTTTTGATCAATAAACTACTTAGATGGGATTATTCCACAACAAGTTTTAAAAGAGGAATTTAAATACAAAGAATGTCATTTATTAAAAGGCTTTTTTCCTAAAACGTCAACGTGACATTATTTTCTAACCTAAAACTTAAATAGTTTGTGTTAACATATGTGTTTATCTGTTCACTGTTGTTTTTCAAAGGAATGTGGAAGGGTGGTCATTCTGGGTTAGAGGTAATGACCACAGCGATTACATGACTGGAGTCAATGCCAGTCTCAAAACAACACTGAGGATCAAAGAATCCCAGAGCTTTTCATTCATCTGCTGGAAGAAATACAAAGCAATGCAAGAAAACCTGATAGGTGTAATGATATTGGTATAAATCTGAAACAACCTCTGAATTTCTGAAATCAAGTGAGATTCAATCAGATAGTGATTATAATGATCATAAGGATCTTCATGGCAAAACGCCCAATGACTGAGCTGGGACTGGGGAATGGTGAGAACTGATTAGCCCCAGTTCATTGAGTATGTGTTAATTTGGTGCATTAATTAGATTTTCTTTTCTCTAGATTTAAAGAGCAATGCTAAAATAGTCTATAAGCCTTTTAGCATAATACGGCTATGCTTATGGATATGTTCATAAGGAGGGTCAGTGTCTTTCAGTGTCTGTCTTTATGTATAGTCATCGTACCACTACAGGAATAATGATGTTAGTGCACAGTTCATGGTTAGGTTGGTAACCCATTTACTTCACTTAGCCCTATGTTTTCCAAGGCTAAAGTTGGCTAATTGTAGCTTCTGGTTTTATAATTAATCTAGATTCAAACGTACAACTTTTCAAACTAGGACTAGATTATTCTAAACTAATAACATAATCAAACCAACCCAGTCAAGTTCAAGTTGTTAGAAAGGGCAATTGTTATTTAGTTGTTATTTGTTATGACAGAGGTAATTGGAAAGTAAATAACACAGGTAACATACAAACATACTAAGTGCCTTGCAAAACTATTCAAATTCCTAGTTGTTTCAAAATTAACATGTGTAACATAAATGTTTATGTTATAATGCAACTATATGTCAATCTACAGAATCAGATTGTGTCATAGTTGATATAGTAGGAAAACATCAAATAAATTTGATGTTTAAATTTAAAGTAGAAAGATTTTGTAAAAACATTAGAGCTGCAGGTCTTCTGGGTATCTGGCTATAAATAGAGACATTCTCAGATGGCCATTTTACCCCAGATAGCTTAAACTTGGCCAAACTCGATGGTGACTATTGGTAAATATCAATATCCAACTCTTACTCCCAACTTTCCATTAAATTTAAGTCTGGATTTTGAAGCCGTTAAGCTAATGCATTAATATATTGGTCCTTAACCAGGAGTATCAAACCCCAGTTCTCAAGGGCCAGTACATTTAAATGTTTACATCTAACAGTTGTTTCATGAGCATTACAGTAGAACTTGGTCACATCCTTAGTTAAGGTCAATCTATGGCAGATATTTTAAACTCTAATCTGATCTGAATGATGTTTAGAGATAATGTGGTACTGGAAAGTAAATTTCATTTGCACGGAGAATGCCTTTACAGCCACTAAAAGATTTTCTTTTAGAGATGTCATGAAACCTGTGTTATCCAGCTGGACTTCCATCTTCCAGGTCCCTGAGTGAAGCTCTAGTATCAGCTCACGCAATCCACTGGATCTCCCCATAAAGCTCAGCAGACCGTCTCACTAACCAGGAGTCTGCAGACTGACCAACTTCATCTATCTCCACTCCACCACCAGTTTCAGGCCTGGGGGAAAACAGCCCTATTCTTTGCTCCTGTTCACGCATATCTATTAAATTCAGCGATATGTTTCCTGCCGAGGTCTGAGCGCCAAAGACAAAGTAATTCTATCAATACATTTCTTCTAATTGTCTTTTCTCTTCCTGTGAGTTTTTCAGAATGAATTGTATTCAGCTCCATTTATTGTCCTGTTAACACTGATCGCTCCCCTTTCCTGCTTAGAAAGCAAACCAACAACGTGATGCTGTTACCACCAGAATTCACTGTGCGGAAATGTTCAGGCAGACAGCATTATAAGTATTCCGTTGCACAAAGGATTTTGCATGGAAGGTCTCATGTGACCAACATGCTCCGTTCACTATAGATTCTCTCTCTCTAACAAATCTTAGAAGCTGATACAGAATAATAGTTATAGTGGTCTTTGAATATTATTATTGCCAACGGTAGCTGGGTTTAGGACTAAAAGCAAGTATTGGTTAAAACTTTTTAAATTTGTATTTGTGGTGAAAATAACCACTTGTATAATTTGTTTGTCCTTCAAATGTATGTTCTAGTTTATGTTCTTCCAGCACTTTCATTTCAACAATGATTTTGATAGTTTTGATGTGAAAAGGTTCAAAAGGTATGACTGTTAACAGCTACTGTAAATCCTATAGGTACCACACGTACAACGTTATGTTGCAGTAAAAAGAGTACATATAGAGAGAAAGAGATTTCTCTCTGCAGTAAACAAGGCTTTAAAATGTTTAAATCAGTTCTGGGAAACAATATTGGATTTTCTCGAAGCTACATCTGTCTAATCTGATTAGGCTGTTTTTGAGTTTATAACACTTCATAAAAAAACATGCATTTGATAGAGTGCTTCTTGCATAAAGTAGAAATATGTCCTCTTTACAAAACATAAAAATAGCAGTAGGAGAAATGCTACAAGCAGCAATAAATTGAGAAACAACAGCAACGAGTGGCATGTCTGGTGAAATACTGTCCTGGTCATCAGAAATGAAAGGCAATATCTATAAAGTACTGGAGGACAATCCACTTCCTCTCTCCTGGGACAGATGCAGCAAATGTGGGTGTGGGCGACTCTGCAGCATATACAAGCAATATTAAGGTAATCAATCGTCGTCAGTGCTTTGGCAGTGCTGGATTTAGTGTAGTTGGAGCCATCGCATTCTGTATTAAGGCATAATTGATTTGATCTGAATAATCTCCCTCCTGGTTGTCGTGTGTAACGCTGTGTGACAGCACTGAGTGATGTGTTTTCGGATGAGAGAGGGAGAGGGTGGCGGGTAAAAACGTGTGACGGGTCGGCAATGAGCTAGGCGCTCCATTCATATTCATCAGTAGGGTGTTCTCTTCAGGGGTTTGGTGTGACAGAGGCCCGTAGATACAGCATACTGCTCCATACAGTAGCCCAGCATGAAGCATTACACCAAAAATTTCATTTTCCACATTATAAAAATGCAGCCATGATGAATCGTGCAGCTTCTCAATGCACCAAATGACAGAGCAGGCTTGACACAGCCTCTGTCTCTCATCAAACAGATTTGCTTATGATGTACTGTGTTATTTTGCATTGCGCCCCTCTGCGAAGAAGCCTTATGTTTTAAATGTCATTCTTCACAAGCAGTGATTTGCCATGCTAGACCCTTTTAAAAAAGGGACAGAATGTTTTTCTTCCTCGCCTCTCTGTTCTTTGATTTACAATACATTATAGATATCCAGAAATGGTGACTTACAGGCAGTGCACAACAGTACGCCCTTCTCCACACTCCCTTTGCCACTTGTGCACTTGAGCCAGCAGGCTGAGGAAAGCCTTCTTGGAGTCGGGAACGTCCCGATACGCGGACCAGCGAAGGAACTGGAACTGACACACCACAAGCTGGCCTTCCTGGAGCTTTAAAACACATAAGATAAAATACATCAGCAAGTGTTGTAACTGAGTAGAACTTATGCCAGATATTTCTATAGTTTACAGACTTTCAATACCTAACCTGATAAAAACAGGCTGGTAGAAAGGAAGGGAATGAAAAAAGATACATTTAGATGGATGGAGGGACGGACGTCCCTCCATCCATCTAAATGTATCTTTAGATCAGAATCAGGGAGTTGTAAAAACTCTCCAAACTGCCTCCAGCCTTATCAGCTGTGCTCACTCAGCAGCCTGACTGTCACATATACTGTATGAGTCTGTAGGTGTAAGTGGGCCCTGTGTTCTGTGTGAAAGAGGTCCCTGTATGTTCATAACCCTATCTTGTACAATCTCACCCAACACTGAAGGACCAGCGGAGGACTGTAACTCATGCAAATTGGGCCAGCAAAGACATTCACGATGCACTAAGGAATAGCTTCTCAGAGATGTGAATTTATACTTTCCACATTTGCACTGTTTTCTTCCACAGATATGTGCTTACAATGCACATCCTCTGTCTTTTCCTCTCTAGTGTAGGATATCACGGTCTGAAACATGACATCTTCCCTATACAGCATATAGACTAGCTTAAAGTAGTTGAGGTATGAGTTATTTCTGTCTGATTTGATTCTGCCCGTGTTTTGTTAAGCTGCCCTTTGCCTGACTGATGTGAACCGAGTGGAAAAAAGGTGCCACAGGTAGAGAAGGGGAATGACAAGGGCAACCAACTGAAGAGGGAAGGCTGCCAATCAACAAAGAAAGTCGTTGTGGATTTTATAATGGCACAGGGGAGAACACTGTGAATACAGATTCCCTCTATAATTGGCGCAATAGTTATCCTCAGAAGAATGCATGCATGTTCTTAAGCAAAGAACTGCATATGGGGGGAGCCATGTTCTGTAATCTACTATCTAAGTCAGTGTCTTTATTTGGAATATATTACAATCACTTTGTAGTTCTGTAAAAGTTTAGACAAGTTTTTGAACAAACAAAAGGAAAATCTGCTTTCGAGTGTTGGAAAATACTCTACAACTCATAAATAAATCAGCCATTGCGGCTTTAAAATTTCTTCTTTTGAGATGCTAGAAACCGCATAAGAAATAATGACATCTAGAAATTGAAAAAGGGAAGAGAATGAGATTTACGGTACGAGTGTCAATGAGCTTCCCTTAAATCTGTTCCATTTAAAGAAAGCTTGATAAGATTCACTTGTGTGGCAATTTCATTTGATGTATGAAAGCATTCACATCCCTGGTACTTTTTAACATTTGTCACCTAAGGAACAAAAAAATTCAATGTGTCTGAAATCCAATATTGCTTTAAAATTTTTGAAAATGTTAATAGTGCAGAATGTCTCATGCATTTGTATGTAGCCCACTTTTATTTGATCCCATGGCAGCAATGCTAAAAAAAATGACTGGTTTTATGAGAATAGAGAAACATACAGCAATACAGCAAGTCTTGGAGAAAATCTGCTGGAGCCTTAAAAAGCCTTGGAACTAACATGAAGGTTCAATACTTTGTGTTAGAGTGGTCGAAGACTGTACCTAAAAAGATTTCATACAATGCATTTTCTGCTTGCAAACTGATGTACTTAGGTTTTCTACATCCATTCTAACCTAAATCAAGCTATTATACAAATAAATACTGCTATACTTTTCAGTCTGGATGTGCAATACTTGAAGACACACACTCACAAAGAACAGTGGTGCCAAAAAATATAAAAAGCATAGAAAATATAAGTTTTTAGTTAGAATGTGACAAAAATATAAAAAAGCTAAAGGTGTATTACTTGATTTGCACAGCATTGCTTAAAGTACTGTGCAGAAGTGTTGTTCCTCATAATTTTAAAAAAGTCAGATTTATAAAATTGTCTAAATCAACTTTTAATCAGTAGTTTGATATGCTTTCAAAGAAATAAGGGCTGTATAAAGATTTTTACAGTACTCTTGCTTTTTACTTAACTGCTACAATCTAAAAACTTCCACATACATTATACCTATAAATATCCGTCATAATAAATCAGATACACACAAACAAGAATTCAGACTGAGAGATATTTTATGTCTTATCCATCATCTATTTTTCAGGAGCAGCTTTTTAATGCTATATGATTACATTGCCAGTGAACACAGCTAATGTAGCTCTTAAAAGGTTATTTGAAACAACATGTCCTCTGCAGTGGACTTACCCTGGTGACGTTCTTGACCCTAAACAGCCGGGTAATAACATCTTCATCAGCCGAAATGGACAGAAACTCCACCTCCATGGGTCCGTACTGCTGTAAACCGGGCTCAGGCCAGTATTGCACACATGGCTGTGGAGAGAACAGGGGTCACAAAGAGAGGTAGTTTCATTAGTGATCTGACCTGTACAGCTTTAAAAATTATAAAAGAAGAGAGAATGCTGTGTATAGTTAGAACATCTGTATAAACTGTTGAAATGAAGAAGACAACAAGCTTTCCACACCAGTAATGAGTAAGCTAGTGTTACTACCTTTAAACTGCGGTTAGGAAGAGGATGCAAGGCATTAGAAAATGACAATAGAAGTGCAAAATAATAAAATCCAAAGTCACAAACAAGTTCTCAAAGTACGACGGAGTATTAGGGCCATACATGAAGAGAAAAAATATTTTTGCCATGACGAGATTAAAGTCGACATGTCGACTTTAAAGTCGAAATGTCGACATTAAACTCAACATTTCGAGAATAAAGTTGAAATGCCATGTTGAGTTTAATCTCGACGTGTCGAGAAAAGAGCAACCGCGCTCCACAGCTGCAGTCTGCGTTTGGAGAAAAGAGCAACCGTGCTCCACAGCTGCAGTCTGCATTTTAAGAGTGAAGGTAGTCTTTGACGTGCTGCAACTGTATAATCATCACAGGAAGCGGTGGCCTACCAATAATAACGTAACGTCTTTCCCTATGCTTACCCAGGCTCGCAGTTCTGAATTTGAGAACATGTCGACACGTCGAGATTAAACTCAACATGACATTTCAACTTTATTCTCGAAATGGCGAGTTTAAAGTCGACACGTCGAGATAAAACTCAACATATTTCAACTTTATTCTTGAAATGGCGAGTTTAAAGTCGACAGGGCGACTTTAAAGTCCACATGTCGAGTTTAATCTCGTCATGGCAAAAATATTTTTTCTCTTCATGTGTGTCCCTAATACTCCGTCGTACAAAGAGATGTCCGAGCAGGACCCTTCCATAAACAATAAAGTGGAGTCTGTAGAGCAGCTTTTAGGCTGAGGTCACAAATCCTCCTTTGACCCTAAGTTTTTAAGATAAAAGATCCTCAAAGTAGAGAGATTGAAAGGCAACAATGTTAGCAACTGTCTTTGATAAAATCAAAATTTACACCATCTTACTAAATATCGTATTCATATTAAACAATTGCAATATTTACCTACAAAAAATTAAAGCGGATTGTACCCAAATAAGCACCATATAACGATGAGTTACTCTAACAATTACTAAAAGTCCAGAGAAGTTGATATGGATTCCAATATGTCCAAGTCCCAAATGTTTCATGACTAAGGATGAAAGCAATTCAACAGTGTTTACATTCTAACTAAATGAGTGAGACACTGTACTGTGATAAATAGAAACTTTAACCTCTTAATGATCAGAGTGGAAAGTGTTCTTGTATTGAACTAGAAGTATGTGAGAAGTAATATTGGGTAAGTAATATGTATGTCTTCCTGAAAGAAAGGTACAGTTTTCGGTTGGAGAGTAAAATTGTTTGGAGTGATTAATCGCCTGTGGTCCATTAATATTACTGGCTGGCTAACATACATGCCTCCTTAAACTAGACAGAAACTTTTGGTGATACTAGAGTCTAAGACCATAAGTCATAACAGCACATATCTTAATCAAGTCTGAAGAATTAGTTTTTTGAATCTCGCTACTCGCTACTCAATTTCGAATCCAAAACGGGCCCCAAAACACTACCCCTACTAATAAACCCTCCTTTGAACACCCTGCTATTGTGCAAATTCTCCCACTTCGAAATCATGGAGGTGTCTAAAATTGTCATCGAAGGTGCATGTCCACTGTGAGAGAGTTTGCATGAAATGCTGACGGATCTCTCCAAGCCAAAACAGTAACATCCATCCTTCCCCTTTCTGTCTGATGCTTAATAGGTGCTCAGCTTGGGGGAACTAGGTAGAATAGAGAGTTGTGTTTTTGTTCTATTTGAAATAAGCTTTCTGATTCAACTGCTGACGATTTTAAAGAATTTTAGAATTTTAAACCCCTCTTCCTTTTGTTTATTTGTGCTTATTTTCAGTAGTGATTAGTGTATGCATTGTTATTATATATCATAATACTGTGATTTTTAGCTAATAAAGGTTCTATTGTATGGTGTTCTTATGTATTTATTTTATACAGTGAATGATTAATTAATTGGATTTATTCTTCTTTCACTAATATCCGTATGAACGGAGACACATTTATTTGGTTGGTGATGAATAATTTTGCTAATAGCCATAGTCTAACTTACTAAACTGGGGAAAGACAGCTGAATATAAACAGCTGATTCAGGAGTCCAACCTTTTATGTAAGAGACTAAGAACCATGGCCATTAAGGAAATTACAGATATAATCATTCAGCTAATAATAACTAATTAGTTTTACCCTTGATTTGAATGACCTATTAAATAACTAAAACTTCCAGTTGTAGTTAATAAATATGTTTATAATATTCTAGTAAAATGGCACAAAAACTTTCACAACATAATCTAAAAAAACTTCCACAAATCACAATATATATATTTTTTTAACAATTTATTTGTATGAAACAGCTGCAAATAAGTATTTGAACACCTGACTATGAGCTAGAATTACGACCTTAAAAGACCTGTTAGTTTGCCTTAAAATTGTCCATCTCCACTCCATTTATTATCCTAAATTACATGCACCTGTTTGAGGTCCTTAGCTGCATAAAGACACCTGTCTGCCTTATACAATCAGTAAGAAAACGACTACTAACATGGTCAAGTTCAAAGAGCTGTCCAAAGACTCTAGAGAGAAAAATGGAACCCTCCACAGGCTGAAAAGGGCTATGGGGAAATGGTCAAGCAGCTTGGTAAAAAAAAGGTCCACTGTTGGAGCAATCATTAGAAAATGGAAGAAGCTAAACATAACTGTCAATCTCCCTCGGACTGGGGTTCAAAGCAAAATCTCACCCCGTGGGGTCTCAGTGATCCTAACAAAGGTGAGAAATCAGCCCAGAACTACAAGAGAGGAGCTGGTCAATGACCTGACAAGAACTGGAACCGCCGTTTCCAAGGTTATTGTTGATAGTAAGGTAAGAAGTTGAAAAGTTAAAAAACATACCACTAAACTTAATTTTCCAAGTTTGAAGACATTTCCAGTTCAAATGTCTCGATTAGCGTTGAGTTCCAAGCTTTGTAGAGTAGCTTAACAAAGCCTTGTTGCTTAGAAAAAATGCAAATTGAACCAGAAGAACAGGTCCAGCCCCAAGAAATGAGGAGTCATTGAGGTCTTTGTTAGCCTGCAAAACCCGATACTGGCCTACGCCTCTGAAAAGGGGAGTCGTTGGGGTCATTGTTGGCCTGGCTGAACAGGTGAGATGTTTTGTTCCCCTGCATGGAGATGAGGGTGGAGATGATAGAGGGAAGGAATTAGCTCTTTCGCTACATTGTAGGTTTTTTAAAGCTGAAACCTGAGTCCACCTCCTCTGTTTAAGGCTGGGCTTTCTCTCTTAACATAAGTGGCTTCCTTTACACCCCTCTCAAACCACCTGTCTTCTTTGTCAAAAATGTGAACAATCTGGTCCTCAAAAGAATGTCCTTTGTCCTTCTGTCTCTGTGTTTCCTTTCCCTACTTTTCTAAATCTTAGGGATACACTGGTTCAGAACTTTGAGCTACTAAATAACCCCAACACCATGTTATGCTTCCTCCCACCTGCAAAATTTTTAAAGAATAAAGTATTTATTTTTCTTTCATAATAATCAAGGACATTTTACTTGCTTTCATTTCCCTGAATCTGTGCTTGATTACTGTAATGATCCCTTTTAACTGTCCTATTCAAGAGGCAAGGAAACAGCTCAGCTATTCCAAAGCAGAAAGAAATCTTAACAAAAAAAAATCTGACAAATGCCATTAGGTTTATGTTGATGCAGATTTTAAAAATATTTTTTTCAGTCAATAGTCTGGTAAGCAGTCATGCAAATGTATCAAAATAAGTAGTACAGATCATTTTATCAGCATTCTACAGATGGATTTTTGTCTTTAGCTTCATTATTTGTTTAGAATTATAAATAATCGAAATATTTACAGATGCTTCTCAATACATTAGAATATCATCAAAAAGAGCATTTATTTAATTAATTCAAATCAAAAACAGAATATTTATTTACAGATAAATTTTTCACATAGTAGTTAAGATTAAGTATTTATTCATTTTAATTATTGTGGCTAGAGTCAGCAGCTTCAAAAGGCAGAAAACATGAATACAAAAAAAAAAAAATCGCTGTTCACACAGAGCTGTATGCCAGCTTAATCATGGCCCATTTAAAGGAAGGAATACTTTGGGAATAAAAAAACCCAAGCAACATGGACAACAGTAACCTTAAAAGGTTTGTGTCACAAAGCCATTAAAGACTTTAGGGCTGCATGGACTGTAGCTGGACTCAGTGCTTTAGCAGCCATCAAAGACAGATGTACCAAGAACACAGGCTAAAACATTGGCTTTTTTCATTTAAAGCTACTTCAAACTCAGACACGATGCCAGAAACTATTAATTCAAAAATCTATGTTCCAGAGTCTGGAAGAACAGTTGAGAAGCAATTTTCAGAGATGCTTGACATCCAGTGTGAAGTTTCCACAGTTACCAGTATTGTTTTTGACAGCCATCTTAGATTAAGTCTTAGGCTGAGGCCGTTTCTTAATATGTGTATTTCTGCGTTCTCAAGTGCTCGTGTACTCGTGAAACGTCATCAACCTCAGCCCTAGTACTGTTCCGATTCACAAGAGCAGCAGACCGAGATCAAAGTCCCCGGATGTCCCCTCCCTATTTACTGAGTATGCATCAGAGCAGACTTGTCCGTTCTTGAGCTAGACAGCTGACCCAGCATGCACTGCGGCAGCAACAGCTTTCAATGGAGCGCTCTATTGAAAGTTCAAAGTTCTCTTTTCTGTTGCTTTTTTTCAATAAAAGTACATTTTAAGATAATTCGAGGCAAGAATATTATACTTTAAAGCGTCACTATATGGTCTATTTACCGATTTAATGCGTAATTAAAAAAACAATTTCCGAAGTTGAGTGGACTGCAGCAACCAGCGGACCTCTGAGGCTAACGGCAGCCCATCTGCAGCAGCCCTCTCTAGACATAGCTGTGGGTGAAGTACCGCAGGCTTTGATGGCGATTGTTTTTGTTTTATTTGGAAATTTTTTTTATTTGATTAGTGCTTATCTGACTGTGTTAATTATTATTCCCCCACTAAAGAGGGAATATTAGGGAATAATAGGCCCATCTAGGCATGTAGTATGAGCCGGGCATGAGGTGACATCACAGGTACGCTTCTGTTCCAATTGACCCATGTTTATGCTGCATACTCCCGTTCTCACCAAGTCCATACTTTTCTGTGTTCTTCTCAAGAACATACTTGGCAAGGACACGAGTCCGTACTCGCGTTCTAGTGAATTTAGAAACAACCTTAATTTTCAGGACGAAAAGTATTATTAGTCTTAGTCGCATTTTGGACATTATGATATGTGATAGTTTTAGTCGGTTTTAGTCGACTAAAACCTAAAAAGGAATTAACAACCAGATTCTTCACCGGACAGACAGCTCTTGCCTAGATACTACAGTTGTTGGGTATGGAATGCTGCCATGCAGTTCATCATTGTTGTTGGGCAGAAAATTTTTATAGACTTCAAATAAACCTTTTAATGAATTAATGCCCTACTTTATAAAAAAAAAAAGTGTCTCACAAAAGTTGTGAAAATAACAGATCTTGTTCAACACATTACATTGTTTAATGTAGCAGACAGGCAAGCTGACGAAATGTACAATAAAGGAATGGTTTAGATATAAAAGGTTTCCATCCCAAAGCAAACACTTCCTGATTTACATTAAATTATGCATTACACACAGATCAATGATATCTTCATTACTACCAAAGAACAAAAACATTATTCTTTCTACCCTGCAATTTTCTGAGAATTTGCCCCTTGGATACCACTGCTCAGGAGTCAAAATAGATTTAAATTCACAGGGTTTTGGTATTAAAACAAATACAGAGAGAACCTGTAATGCCATGGCAATCCAGACCTAAAATGAATGAATATGCTAACTAAAATGTTGAAATATTTAAAGGAAAGATAGAAAATGTTTTAATAACAATACAAGGAAACATTTACATCATATTTAAATAGATAGAAATGAGAACAACGAGAGAGAAATATTCGAAGATCTATATACCTTTTCATCTGGGTCTCTCTGCAAAAATAAACAGAATGCAATGAAATATTTTCTTTGGATATTAGTTAGGGATTCCTTTTGGTAGAAATTAAAGAATGTTTAGTATCACCTCTTGTTAGCTGGAAGAAATAAAATCTTGAAACTTAGAGAAAAGTATCTAAGTATCACCCCTTCTCCTCCTCCTACAATATGGAGGCCGTCAAGGTACAGTACAAAATGGCATCTGCAAAGTCTACATGACCTTTCTTAAGTGATGGTTTGTTTACATGGATAATTCTATCAATCATATTTTATCCGGTCTGTATAGGATATAGATATAAAATAATTGCCATCATGGCTTTGTCCAGCTGCTGCCTACCTTGGTGAAGCAGGAAAAAGACTAATACAAATTGAACCCAGTAGAACTTTTTATTGCCTACCTGGAATGGGTTACAATAGTTGAATAAACTTTTGTCTCTCAAAATGGTATCGGTGCCCTATTTGTTGGTACTCGCCGATACCAATACCACCTTTTTAGTGCTGGATCGGGGCCCCGTCCGATACTGGTATCAGTATCGGTGCAACAATAGTTATTGCACTGTAAATATGACAAACTTTCTAAGTGTTTTGTGAATAAGTCTTTTATAAATGAATCAGGTAAAAAAAAAGGCTTGCACCTGTGTTTAGGTATATATCGTGAGGACTGAGGTGGATTAGTGGGATGTGTGTTATTTAGTCATGCCTTAAAGTCTAGCTTGTAATAACTTAAAACCTGACAAACCGGGATGAAGTAAAGGAAATAGGAAAAGGAAATGTGCATTTCAATCTTTGAGCCTGAAAGCAAAAACGTGCAGAGGTTTGTGTGTTTTAGTAAGGTGAAACATTTTGTTAAGTTTGTGCCAACAAATCACTTGTGATAAAAGTGAGCAGAAGTCCTTGCTCTTACCCATGGTGAGTTTGACTGGTTGAGTTGGTTGAGCATGACGACTGCTGTGCAACCATAGTCCGAAAACCAGCCTCCAAAAATCTGCTGTGGTTCCAGGCAAAGGGTGAGGGGTCACAATGAAGGCAGCCTGCCGGTGGAAACTGTCAGCGAGAGCCGCATTGATGTAGTTATTGCTCTCTCCTTCTGTAGTGACCAGGAAGGCAAGGGCACGATCAGGAGGCAACACATCCATGCTGCGATTCTTTTCTCGGTTTCTGGGCAACAGAGCGATGCTGCACTCTTCCACATCCAGATGGGGAGTCACAGAGTTCAGTGTCTACAAATGGAAATGTTAAAGCAGAGCATTAAAGTAAAATCAGTGATCAATTTAGAAAAAGACTAAATTAAGAAACGAGGTACACAATAAATCTAACAAATATGAACTAAAGCACCATTTCCAGTATAAAATAATGTATCGATTGCTGTTTCAGTGATGTAAGGAGAATGGTTGGGATTTCTGCAGAACTAAGGAAAAAAGATTATTGAGAATTAGCCGAAATGAAGCACCTAAAGGTCTAGTTCCCCTTATTCAAATAATTTAGATTTGTCAACACATAATATGACATTTGTTTCAGGAAAAATACAGGTAGGGGTTATTAACTATGTTATACTTTATTAATCCCACCTAGAAATACAATAACAAATATTGTATATGTATGTGTTTATATGTATAAAGTATTTTTGAATTGAATTGTTGTGTGATTTAACAAATCTCATTCATGTCTGCTCAGACCTTTTCATATTTAATCAATCACTTTTAGCTTTATAATCCCAAAAGCAACGCTATTTTAGACATAACAAACAGACATTTGACAAAGATAAATCCTTTATAGTTATAAGGTTTTTATCTATTTATAAAACATAGTGTGATTAAAAATAACAAAAGATGTTTAAAAGGCACATAAAGCACATCTTGACAGTAAGTCACATTTCATTGCTTGATGGAGGTTGGATATAATTGTAGATTCCATCCATCCATCCATCCATCCATCCATCCATCCATCCATCCATCCATCCATCCATCCATCCATCCATCCATCGAACCAAGCCATCAGCTCCGGGGCTGGTCCGGGAACCCAGGTGGACGGGGGTAGCGAGCCAGCGAGGGACGGAGTGCCCAAACCTGACCCGGTGACGGTAGCCTGGACACCGGCGGCCCCGTGCTCCCACCGTCTGCTTTATGGCGGAAGTTTAGAATAATGAAATTTGCTAAGAAAGGAAGTGTCGATGGGGTTTGAACTTCTCTGTTCACCCACTGAACTATCGTTATTCATCTATGACAATGTAAACTCGGTTTTGCATTCTATGACCCCTTTAATAAAACACCAAAAATTTAAAGATGCATTAAAAGCATTTGGGAATACTCCAAAGTCATGTGACTAATTTGAAATATGTATCTTAAACAAAGCAGTTGGAGGCAATCAAAGAGCACAAGGCATTTAAATAATTTAAAAGCTGCCTCTGTTGATGTCTACCTGTACTGCTGTGGACTTCTTACTTAACCGAAAATTATACATGTTGGGAAAACTGTATTTATACAGAGAAAAGAGAAATACAAAGGATTTGCTACAAACCAAGTTGCAGTTGAACTCTCTGTTCATTTGTTTCTAGTTACTTTAGACAAAATAAGAAAATATGTGGGTCATTAGAACAGAATATCAATAATACATCTATGAGCTGCTGATCTCCATACTGTTTGCAGAGCTCATTGGGTGGTGAACATGTTTTTAAAGTCAACGCCAAACAGATAAGATTACAAGATCAAAGAGAGCAAGACTTAACATTTTCCTTCATGAACAAGGAACAGTTTGTAATCAGTGCTGCACCACCTACAGTGACATTTCTTAATCATAAACAATCTATCCATCATCACTCCAATAATATGCAAACTGTATGAGGATAAAACAGAATGAAATTAAAGTAGGAGTATAATCCTTTTCCTGTAACACTTTGAAATGCTAAACATGGAAGTGAGTGTTGAGCAGAGCAGCACATGGAGGTGGCTGAGATGGGTAAGATGTGGAAACAGCTGGCTCTCCACATTCTTAACAACATCTAATAAAACGTTCTGCAAGTGGAGGAGGATCTTGATGTCAGTTATACAGAAATAAAACGGAAACTAACACCTCCTTGTAAACACAAATACAAGCATATATACAGTATGCATGTTTGTTTATGTCATCATTTGTCATAAAGCAAATCTTCTCCAGAAGCATTTCTGAGCAAATAATGAAGGAGGTGATGTAGCTGAGATTAAAGCATTCAGGGTAAAGAGTGAGTCATCAGTCTCACCTGAAACTCCTCCCGTAGCGGAGAGGAATTGCTTTGAGAATCCACCCTCAGCATTTCCTTGTAAGTGACTGCGAACTCGTTCACCAAGATGGCCGTCTCTCCGCACAGACAGGCCTCTAAAATGGCATCATGGATAAAGATATACTGCTCCTGAAAAGACAAAGGGTCAATCAGTGCATTGCTTTTGAATCCATGTGCATGTGTCATTTCAGAAAGCACATCAGGGTAGCTGTCAAGTAACAGCTGAAAGAAAAAGGAAAGCTGAGAAGTATATGTACAGTGCCTCTTGCAAAAGTAATTTATTTTACACAAGTTTTCATGTGTTGAAGTGAAAATAGGAAAGGGGGTATGTGTTGTTCTCAGCAACTCTAATTGTAGACAGCATTTCTTCAAGGTTTGATCATCATTCTTTTTCTAGATCAAATTCAACCACATTATTTAGAGAAAATCTGTGAACATATTTAAATCCTCAAACTTTGCCATATAAACTCATTTGGATTGGGGCTGTGACTTTGATGTTGCAATTCTCCGCACATGGTTTAATCTCTATCAATATATTGTGAAAAGTGCACGAAATTATACATCACAATTATAAATAGGAAACCAGATCTACTTTTAGAATGAGTTGTTCTGTTCTCTTTTGTTCTTTAATGTGTTTCTCTTAATGAATTGAGTTACAAAATTAAAGGATATTTTAGTAATATTTTCCTTTATTGGAAATATAGCTGTATAATACTAATACTGTTCAAAAAATACATAGGGCTGTCAGCTCCAACATGTAGCGGTAGGAATGTTGATGCCTTGTTTAGCCAATTTGCACACAAAAAAAAAAATTACATATATTTATGAAAACTAATTATATTTTGTTAGTTTAGAATCAGATTGAAACAACTAATAAAACAAACAATAATTTTCTCATAGAATTGTAAAGATTTTGTGTAAAATACTTCATTTAAGCACTACATTTTTCTACATTGTATCGCAAAATACAAAGACTTTGAGGTGTATGAATAATTCTGGTCTGCTTGTAAATAAGCAAACAATCAAAATGTGTTCAAATAAATGACTTTTTGTTAGTGATATTTAAAACGTGTAGTGGGATTTGTTTACAACACATAAGTATTTATCTCCAGTCTAAAATGCAACTAATTCATTGCAGGATTTTCATTGCATGGGATGGCTATTTCATTTTACCAACCATATCGAAGACAGCTCATAGCCACACATTGCAAAATGAAAGACAATCTATTACATCTAAATCTATTACAGTGACACAAGAACCAGAATTGGATTGTATGATTGTAATATGGCTATACTAATAGAATGGCTTTTATCAGTATATCAATCTGTCCAGGCTGCTGAATATGCAGAGCGGTGTGCATTAAAATAAAAGAAGTGTGACTCAGTCTGTGAGGAGGTTTTCCCTGCTGCACATTTGTTCTGACCTCTGTCTGGATCATGTTGATGCGTCGAGAGCAGAGGGTTTTCACACAGTTGTAGATATCCACCACACCTTCGCACTCGGCCATGTCCAACATGACATCCAGCACGATGTAGCAGCCGGTGCGTCCTGCCCCCGCACTGAAACATAAAGGCCACAGTTCGCTGAAAATTCTCAGATTAGCTCTTGGGATCTATTTAAAGGTAAGAAAAGGCTCCTGAATCTCTGATAGATCCTGCAAATCTGTAAGAAATAATAAAATGTTGACTTTTTTTAATTACAGTTTAAACAACCTATGTTCTTAGTCATTCACTATCTGAAATAAACAAGCGTTTCCCACTCCTGACTGAGGCATGGAGCAGGGGTGCAAAAAGAGCTGTTATGGAGGCCAAATATATATTCTAGGGAACCACAAATAAGGGTTGTTTCTTCCATCTAATTAAAATAGGGTATATCAAATCAATATATCCCCAAAAACAAATTCTTTAAATTTCCATAGAAAAGGGATGCCTCAATCACTGAAGATGGGAAACCTAAAAACACTTTTTAAGGTTTGAGTGGTTGAATATCAAGGGAAAAAATGGCTTTCAGTGTTTTAAATTGTGTCTGGATGTTTAGAATAGAATAGAATAGAATAGAATAGTCCTAGCCAGTGCATTTCAATATAGTGGGCCAGTATGATCAAGTTTGTTACTGTTATAAATTCAGGCCACAATGCTAATTTTTTATGAGCATGTAAACCCTTTAATAGACATTAATAGAATTCTGTCCAGCAACATTTCAGTAAGACTGTTGCTACGCTGAAAATAGTTAAAATTACATTGAAATGTTGCTGATAAGCTGACTTTTAATAAGCTTAACAGCTGGTTTATAAACACATTTACCTCCTTATTCGCATATATACTGTATACATATGATGTTCAGACTCTGTCTCCCTAATTGCTTGAGCCAGCTTTGAAAGCAGAACTTATTGAAAGCAAAATGGCTTGTTTATCCATGAGAACCGACTGATGGTCAGAATGTTTGTTTGTTTTTTCTGCCAAACGTCACTGGTTCAGTCTGAGAGATCACATGTGGAGGGGAGATACTGTATGAACATTGCCTCTGGAGAAAAGGCAGAAAGAAAAAGGGGGAGTCCTAATTAGCAAAGAGACATAGAATAGAGACACTTTCAACTGTAAAAATGTTTGCTGTGTTAGAAGCAAATGATAGCATAGAAGACAGAATAGTATGACAAAGGACACAGTTCAATGTCCAGTTCAGTTAAACATTACAGAAATAATACCAAAAAAAACGTACTGACAAAACAATTGCATATTCAAAATGATCATTGGATGGAGACTTCTTTCCAATCAGACTATATGATCTGATTGGATTGTCTCTGTGAAGTGCCGTGAGATTATGTTTATGAATTTCTGCTATATAAATAAAGTGAATTGAATTATAAAAACAAATAAAAAAATAAACAGAAGCCTTTTTGTTGTACAAAAACACCTGGAAAAGCTATTACCTATCTGAGCTGATTAAAGTTTTAAAGTAAAAGAGGAATATAAGTGGATGAAATTGGAAGTGGTGCAAATAACAGTGTGTATAAGAAAAAACTATGTCTATCCAATTCAGATATGGAAACTGTGGCAATAAGAATTGGACCTGCAGGGAAAAAGAGAGAAAGAAAACTGGGAGGAAGGATCTTCCGTAGCTCTGATTTGTGCAACCTTGTGGTCCTATTTAATATCCAATTAAATCAAAATGATAAAAAATTGATAAAAGATGCATACTTTGGTACACTATTTGAGTATTATTTTGCATCTGCATCAAGGAGTGGACTAGTCTATATCATTTGAAGTGTGCAGAGGAACAATTTTCAAAGTATGTGCTTTCCAACTCATGCATACCTGTGGGGAAATATTGGGATACTTTGAAGTACCAGAGGCTACTTAACACCTAAATGTTGTTATGCTGTTGGGAAACGTTTGCATTGCATTCCAAAGTGATGTAGGTTATTTGCATGATAAAGTACAATAAATGCCCACATCACTACTGAAGTGACTTTTCGTGCGAAAACAAGTGTATGAAAATACTGATTTACCTCTGTGGGTGTGCTTTGCTTAAAAACAAACACTGTACAGACTGTTTTTTTGTTCTTTATCTCATTTTGCTGGTGAATCCTGGACAATGATATGGACTTTTATGATAGTGGAAGATCAATTATTCCAAAGTAACATACTTCAAATGATTCCTATGTAATAAACTCTATTAAAAGGATGATATTACTAAATACAGTGGATGCTTGGCTAGGTCTACTCGTGTCCTCAATAAGCCCTGTTTAAATAAAAAAATAGAATTTAAAAGTTTTGGAAGCAAGGTCTTTGCGTTAATCTCTGCAATATTTCAGACTGGCTAGGTGGGCCAGTGCAGTCCAGCAGTGCTTTGGGAACTCTGCAGAAGAAGTAGGTGAAAAAAGGTTGTTAGTAAACTATAATCCATCACATACGGCCAGACAGCACATCTCATCTGCTTTCTATGACACTCTGGGGGCCTTCTGCAGCTCTTTAAGCATAGCATAGCACTGCTGAAACAACAGCGCAAGAAAGAATGCTATTTCAGATCCTTATTCTTCAAAAGCAGTCAGGCTCATTAGCAGCAGCAGGGCCTGTTGCTAAAACAGCTTTTTGTGATTTTATGCAATGTCAACTGACTCTTTTTTTAACGACTCTTTTTTTAATGCATGTTTTCCTCTCCTTAAATTGGTAGTGATGATTTATCTCAGTATATCAAAACTGCAATATGATTTTGATGATTTTGTCAAAATTTTGTTTTGTGCTTTTTATATGAAACTGTAATAAAATAGTATAGCTTTCCAGATGTATACTGATGAGAGTTTTATATATGGTTTGTAAGCACCTTGCTTCTGCTTCGACTCAGCTTTCATAGTATTTATCTGGAGTCTATTGCTGACTGTAAATTCTCACTCTGAGTATAAAAATAATCTTCTTTTTTTTACATTAATTATTTATTTATTATTTTTACATTTATTATTTTAAAGTTATCAAGTAAGTCTCATAGGCAAAACACCCTGATGTCATGGCATGTCAACCTATTAAAAGACTAAAGCAGACAGGAATACCTACAGTATATAGCAATTAGATCTACCATTTAATGATGCAAATATTTCCAAGCACTCTGATTTTTTTTTTCTCCAACTAATTACCCAGCAGACTCTTCATCACAAGCAGCACCCACAACAATCAAGCCACTAAGAATGATAATCAGGCTGCTATTATACCAGACAGGAAGCCTTTTAGATCATATCATTGTCAGGTTCTTAAGAAACAGAATATGATGAAACCCATTTCTAAGTTCTGATACTGTAAGGCTACTCAGGCGCTTGTTGATCACTGTCTTCCACTTATAGTTTTTGTTACATTTAAAGCAGTATTCAGTGTAATGTACAGTGTAAAAATTCTTAATGACTAACATCCTGTGAGGGTACAGCTGGCCTTTTTTCTTTTTGGGGTCACAGCAAACATGCTCCCTAGATAATGAGTAGTTTCTTTTGAGAAAATAAAATAAAATTATTTTCATCTTAACAGTGATATATCATTGAATAAGATGTGTTTGCTTTTTCTTCAAGATTTTTCCATACTTTTTCCCCTTATTACCTTAAAAAATAAATGACTTTTGAACCTAAATATATTACAGGCACAGAGAGCATTAAAAGTCCTTAAAAAAAGGAAATAGCATTCATTGCAGTCCAAGCAGTTCACCCCAATATGCCTCTAACAATAGATAGCACCCAGATGAGGTTGTGTTGTTATTGTATTAAAAAAGGGTTAGGGTTAGGGTTAAAGATGGCGCAGGCACTTTACTTTACCTGAGTTACGTGAGTTATGTGACAAATAGAGCAAAAAGCAGTGATCAAAGCAGTAAAAAATGGCCTGCTGCATGCTCTTGCATTCGCATTTTCTTTTGAAGTGGAGAATGCAGGTCTTTTAAGAAATCCTCCCCAAATACTTTAAATGGTTTTAGAAATTTGGATGTAGCTTTAAAAATGTAAAGCTACATCCAAATAAACAATGAGGAATAGAACAAAAAATCACTTTCACATACTAATCACCACATTTCTGTCACATTCTTGTAAAAAAATTTATATCATGTTGTATCTACATTATAGGAACTAGAGGCCGGATGAGGAAATGAGACTCATGAGAGACATGATAGTTGCTGTCGGTAACTGCAGCCACCAGCCAAGCCGCCACAGGAGAAAACAGAAACAACTTTACAGAAAGGCCGTAAACACTGCACTGCACTGGTGATGTTGTTTGCATGTTTACTACGTCACTTCTTAGTGGGATTTGAATAGATGTCAGTTGTCTGCCGACTATAGAGGAGTCCATTGCTACCCCTGACAATGTTTGAAACAAGCTCTTATTTTTCTTCAAATAAAAACCAAAACAAGCACCACTTCCTGTATCAAAGCTGTGTCAGTGTTCCCATCTGTAGGGCTGAGCGAGAAATTCAGCCTGTGAATTGCGGTGTATTATGCAGCACACAGCCTATTGAAGACAATGGAGAGATACGTGGATGGGCCCATTGGTTTTTAGCGCCATATCAGCCTTTAGCATTAAACAAAATGGACATGCATGTATATTCTTCCCCAAGTTCTATTTTTTTTTTTATTATTATTATTTTGAGACAATAGATGAAGGCCATATCAGCATACAGAACTATTATAAGCAAATATCATTTACTTATATAGAAAAACAACAGTTTCCTTACCCTGCATTTTGCATTTGTCCTCTTCATGTTGATCTACAGTGTACTAATAACAGTCATCTTTACTTTAATCCTTTTACAGATGCATGATGTAACTTCTAACTTGCCGCAGTAGTTGAAAAAGCCATAATTCAGATAAAATAGATAAATAAGAGTAAAAACGTCTGTGATGCATTAAAGCCTCTGCTCATTTCCAGTCTTCTGGGAACAATTTAGTGCAATATATTGTGAAGCCTCCCACCTGGACTGCGTTAGTTTCTTTCTGTCATTCTCAGGGGAATAAAATGATGAAACCTACAACAAATCTAAAATCAAACAAATCATGCTATAAAAATATATTGTACCTGCAGTGGACCACCACTGGGCCAGCATCAGGGGGCGTAGAGGCTTTTACCCTTCGTATAAAAGCCAGCAATCCAGTGGCATGATAGGGCACGCCATGTTCAGGCCAGGAGGTAAAGTGGAACTGACGGACCTCATGCTTGGTTGAGTATCCTCTCTGTCAACAGGAAGATAGTTGTGTTTAAATAGACAGGCACCCGAACATCAGAACCAATGGAAAAGCTGCTACCCCGTTTTCAAATTTTGGAGCGGAAAAAAACAAAACATGTTTCCACTCCTCTGCTTCTGCTAAAAATGTCTGATTTGTTCCTTCAATCAGAGAAATGCGAGGCAACATCCAGAGGCATGATGACAGAGCTGAAAGTCTTTTACTTGCTTTTGTCTGTCGCTGCATGTCTTCACAAGAGTTCACAAGAACAAAATGATTTACGTAGAGCCTCTCTCGTTACCTTAAGGCTGTGTGGAGGTTTCTCTGCAGCCGTCATACAGCAATTTCATCCTCTGGTCAGATATGATAAATTAAGGCAAATACAAAAAACAAATAAAAAAAATTCAAAGAGGTTTGAAAATGAACAGTTACCAGATTCCAAATTCACCCTAATTTAAATAAGCAGTCATACAGCAAATGTGACTGTGTGGTGATAATCCTGTGTTTGTGCCACTGTCACTCTAGCCTGACTCTGAGCCTTTCCAACACATGATTTCCCTCAGAGATTGACAGGATGGAGGCCATCAGGGGTGAAAACACTGTAGCAGCAATGCTAGAAACCTGTTAATTCCTCTCAGATTAAAATATAGACTTCACATTCATCAGCGCAAAGTCCTGTCAAGCATCTAATCCTTTTTATTCATGTTTTACCTTTAATTTTACTTTTCACTATGCTGGGTAACATGAGTACTTTTTATGAGGTATAGCTGCAGTAGAATTCAATAAGGGGACCAGATTTTACTATTTAGAACATGCAAACATGTAAGAAATATGTACAAAAAAAAGATTTAAGAAAGAAAGGAATATAAAACATATGGGAAGCATTAACTAAAGATAAACTTACCCTCTCCAAAGCAAAGGTGCGGACTGTGTATTCGGCCAGGGTTTCTGCCTTAAGTAGAGTGATTTTAATATCCCCATACATCTCGCTGTCATCAGGCCAGTATTTACAGCACTTGACCTTTCAAAAACAGAAACGCATCATTTTAAACTTTGGAGTGTAAAAATAAGATAAGATGAATCCTTTCCTTTAACATAATTTGAATTCCAAAACCATTTGTTCAATTATCTAGAAACATCTCTGCACATGCAGTCCATAATCACTAAAATGCACACTATTTAACTTCATTTATGTTATTTAAGGAGCTGGTTATATGCTATGGCTTAATCCTATGGTGATATTTGCTGGTAGTTTGACCAGAACACAGGCTGACAATTTGTTTCATCACAGCTGTCCTTTAAATGCTGCACCACCTGCTTCTGTACATATGTTTTATCTTGCAGGGCGAAGGGGAAAAAAGCATAATAATGACATAATGGTACGGAGCATTATGAAGAAGAGTGCATCATTTTTCTTTTATCGTCATTCAGCACAATGGAGGCAATTTATTTCTTTATATATATAATGGAGGTGTTATTTGGATTCAGCCACACAGATCGCTTCTCAGTTATTGATTGTTTCCGGAAAGGTAAGGATGGAGAACCAAAGCGCATGAGGGGCTTCTGCTAGAATGGTGTCATTTTAACCATCTGCTCTGGTAATATGATTTTTTTTTCTTTTCCTCTAACGGAAAAAGATAAGGTACTTGAAGCTAAATTCATGGTGCATGAGAAATGAAACATAATAGTTCTACATCAATATGCCCTGTATATCCAAGGACAGAAGCACTGCAGATGCTGTCACAAACATTTTGTTCTATGCTTTTTATATATATATATATATATATATATATATATATATATATATATATATATATATATATATATATATATATATATATATATATATATATATATAAAAGCTATGAATTTTCACAAACAATCAAATTGGGTCTATTTTTTTCTAATATTTGAAAATTCATGAAGGCTTTAGACCTGATATTACCTGATATATGTCTACAAGTAAAATATTTTGAAGGACAAATGCCTTTGACCGGTTCTTATCTATGTTTAGATCCAATTAACAACTTAAAAAGCCTTCTGTAGGAGGAAATGATCAAAGATGAACTTGTTTAAACCCAGAAAAAGGCTGACCCTTTTCTTAAACTTTCAAAGGCAAAACCGAGCTGACAAATTAGAAAGTTTGATCTCATAGGAATAAAATAAATATATATTTTATGTTTGTTTGCTGCACCTAGTATAATGACTCTGTTAGTTTTAGTGGTTCTTCACCGTTTTTCCCTGATAGGCATCCTTCTCTTTAGGACAAATAGGAAATGTTGTGAGCTTGATATTTCTGTGTTTTTTTTTTTTTTACTTTTGGAAAGTAATCACCAGAATTCATTTAATGAGGAAAATAAACAGAAGTTGTTCAAACTGAACAGGCAAAGTAATTTTTTTCCAACATCCTCCGAAAATTATTCACAATATGATTTAGCCTAAAAACAGGTTGGATCATTAAAGCTCAAGTATTCTATATTCTGAAAAAAAAAGGTCCACTCAGTTAATTGTTTTCTACAAATCATTTTAATCAAATCATACAGACCGACTGGTTAAATTTAATCTGTCTGATGAGCATGTGGAGAGATTAGAGATTAAATTGTGTTGCTGACTTTACGGCAACCCCTAACACCATTTCTCATAATTCAGGACTGAATAGGTGTCAGTAAAACCCCCAAAATATTGTCTCTCTTTTTGTTTTACCAGCTATATTGTAGACATAGCTATGGTTATCCAACAAGGTTGCATGGCTATGAACATAAGAAATAACAACATAGGATGTGTAACATATGTGTAGCTTTTGTCACATATGTCTAAGGTTGGACTACCCCTGTAAGCCAACTTTTTCTCATCATAATGGCTTTATCTGGCCTGCTGCTCAGTTTAGTTGTGACACCATCCAGGAGGGAGGCATCAGCTGGGCTGCTACTGTCAACAACATTCATCTTAGATAATAGACTTGGACCTGTTTTTAGATGTTTAGCCATTTTAACCGCCTAGACATGCAAAGAAAACTGAAACTGAATATGTGGGGTATATATTTCTGACCTCTGATATTTACTACCCAGAATTCTTGGATACATCCCAAAAAAGGCTTTTGTGGTAGTCTTAGGCCAGAACTCTTCTTTCTGAGGCTCTGAATATGAGCAGTTTGGACTGTACTACAGAAAAAGCAAAAGTCAGATTTTTCCTGTTCTTGTTTCTTTATCTGCGGTGTGTTATAAGACACCTTCTGAAAAGCTGTTTTTTGCTCCTTCTCACAGTCAAAAATCTCAATAAATCTGGATCGTAAATAGACATCAGCAGATGTCCACTTGGAGAATAAGTAGCTTGGACCTTAGATCGAACAATGTTTGCAACAATATCTGATGCAAAAAAAGACAATGCTGAACCATTATTCCCTCAGTATTTTGCTGCGAGGCATATATGCAATACTTTCAGACATATTTAAGCTAACTAATTAAAACCTGTGTTGAACTTTATCATATCCAGCTTTTTGGAAAATATCTTCCTTTTCAAGTGAACAGCTTGTTTGAACAATTTGATCTGCTGTTACAGAAAGCTACAGCAGACCATCATTAAATCTAACAGCTTTAAGCCTTCTGCAAGGCAGATGCCCTTCAAAGACATAAATGCTTCATTCATAGACACAAAACAGTTCCCTTTTAATGGTTTCAGTACTTCTGTGAACGCTGACAGAAGGGGGATAAGCATGAATAACATACCCTGCCAACCTCCACCAGCTTAGTGATCATGACGATGCTGAAGCAGTTTTCCTGCCACACCATCCTCCAAAAATCATACAGGGTCTCCTGCTTGGGCCCTAGTTGGAAGAAAGAAGATAAAACATAAAGAGACATGAAACTAGATCCATACAAACCTGCCTTGTGAAATTGAGAATTCTTTCCATTGTGACTGAATATAATTGTAACCCAAGTGACCTTTCTAGAATGACAGGGTGCTGACTTTTCAAAATTTTGCCAAATATATATTTGTCATGCCAATTTTAAACAGGCAGCAGGGAAGGAGGTGACAGGTGACAGAAGTAACAACAATAATGAAAGACTGGAAGACCACCAGTTACTGTCATCTGAGGAGGAGACATTTAGGAAGTAATGCTGAGCATCAAAACCGGCTAAGAAATATTAAACAAGACAAAGAAGTGCTCAAATCTTCTGTCTCTCTTGCTAGTTTTATCTGCTTCTCTGAGTCTGCGAGGAAGGGGTTGTTGGTGGAAGATAAGCAGATGAGCAGACCACTCAACTTCTGAATGGGAGCTGCATAAAACCAACAATCCCCAGGGTTCAGAAACAGTAGAGGGGAGTTTGTAAACACCCTCCCAGCACACAACTCCCATATAGGGGTAGCTACATCTGTTTAGCAAAGGGTACACTGAGGATTGGAAAAATCTTACCCCTAAATGTCAAACACAGGGCAGGGATAAATTATTCACAATTATCTAACTTTTTTCACTTTTGACAGGGTAAAAAAACAAAGGCATCTAAGGCAAACTATAGCATAATTGCAAAGTGGAAAAAATCATGAAGTGTAATGAATATTTTTTTTCTAAATAGAATCCTCAGAAGTTTGGAATGGGAATCTCTACCTATTGTCCCTATGTCCGTAACTTATACAACCTCCTTTTGGGTTCTGCAACTATGCTGCAGATCTACAGACAAAAATCGCACACATTGTACTTGCAAAAAAGCCTTAAATTCAGTGAGATTAAATTGAGGGCATCAGTAACTATAACATTTTAGGTCAGGTAATGGATTGCCATTTGGATTTAGTTGCCAGTGTCCAGCTCTGATTTTTGATTGGGTCATTCTAACACAAAAATGATTCAGTAAAAACCTTTTCTGTACATGTTTAGGTTCTGCTGGGAATTCAATCTCCAAACCAAACTTCTTCTGCTGCCTCATAACAAATGTTCTTTTTAGAGTTGTCTAGGTTTCCTGACCCTACTGGAGATAAGTTTTCCCACACCATGATGCTGCCACCACAATTTTTCATAGACAGAAAATTGTGGTCAGGGGTTGTCAATATATTATGTTATATTTTGTTTTGCAAATAGGCCAGACAGTTTGATTGTTCTTTCTGTCCATAGCATCTTTAAGATGTTTCCCCCTGAATGCTTGTAGCTGGTGAGATTTCTAAAAACTTTCATACAGCCATTAATGTTAATAATGTCCATGAAAGGACAGATTTATGTAGACGCTGATTCTGTAGCTGGCTACAGATCTGATTAATGGTCTCCTTGCCAATCAGGTCAGTTAAGGTCAATAGCCATATATGTTGCTGGATTTGCATGTTATGCCACAATGCAAACCATCTGAGACTGTTTTTCTGAACATAACAGTGAGGTAACTGTACTCCATTTCTCAATCCAGTAGAGCACTGTTCTACCAGGGACGTGGGGGAATGGAGGATTTACATCATGGATATGCTGCTGACAAACCTGCAGCGTCTATGTGATGCTATCATGGCAATATGGATCAAACTCTCTGATGAATGTGTCAAGGATCTTGTTGAATCTAGCCACATAGGATTGAGGCAGTTCTAAAAGCACAAAAATGCCCCAACATGGTACTAGTAAGGTGTACCTAATAAAGTGGCCAGGAAGCTATATTCTTGGTGGTGTTTGTTTATTTGAATATTACCTGACTATGTCCCTTTATTGTTAAACAAATCTCTAAATTATTCAAAGAGGAACTGGATTCAAAACAATATTAAAGCCCCATCTGCACAGAGATGAGCTTAGATTTAAACCTAAAATGTGTTTTGTTGTTTAAGCCATAGATCCAAAGGGAGGTGCATACTTTGGAAGAAAATAAAAGATAATTTTAGAATTCAGATAAATTCAAAAAATGTAATGACGCCCGTTTCCTGCTTCAGTGTGTACACACAAGCAGCATGTTGATGTAGCTCTCTAGCTCTGTAATTCATATGCACCTCTTTATTACTTTGTGTTACCATATGTACTACAGAGCCTTCATTGGTGCTATGCACACTTGTGTGGAAGCTTTCTTCTGAGCGTTCATAAAGTGTTTGTTTAGGTTTATTTATTTTTTATTTATTTCTTGTAAGTCTTTAATTATCAAAATAATATGAAAACCAAAGGTGATTAATTGTGCTGTATTGTATTTAGGGGTATTAAAGAAAAGGGGGTGGTTATAAATCAACAGGTCTTTATATTTTTATTTGCTGAAGGATAATGTTTCCACAATTTTACAATTAACTGGTGACTAGATTTAATGTAGCCTCCAACCTACACACATTTGATAGTACTGTAACAAAATGTAAAAAAACTTAAATGGGTATCAACATGTTTTTGCAAAATGCTATAGCTCTAAACTGAAGCTAAAAGCCAAGAATTCTACATTATATTTAGTCAAATGATATATTTTTCCTTCACTGCTTTTAGATACGTTGCCACCCCTGTTGTCACAACGAAAACAATTCTTTAGGAGAGCATCTTTAAACTATTAAAAAAACTATTTTCTATTTTCTAATCCACACACATTCACCCATAGAAACATCTACTCTAGCCTTGTGGGAATACTCACCCTGAGTGGCGATGAAGTGGTTGGATCGATGGTAGCCCTGAAAAAGAGAAGAGGGATGACATGCTGAGTAAGCCATCTGAGCCTCAGGCACAGCTTTAACAGAGGATGTCCCTGACCGTCTACCGCCTTTTTTTCTCCTCTTCTGCCCCTTACTCCCCTCCACTGAAAATTTCACCCTTCTTCAAAATGTTCATGTTTTAATTTTCTACTATTTCTGCTGAGGAAACCATATCTTTTGCATTCAGTATGAAATGTTTTTGAAGGATAAGCATCTTTAAACAAAAGGAGTCCTGGGAAATATTTGAATAGAGAAATAACTAAAAAAAAAAAAAACACAACTGAATCACTGTAGCTATTCAAGGAATATATAAAAACCAAGAGCTTAAGCATTTGAGTTTTAGATGCCCAATTTACAAAAGAATGTCCCTTATAACCGAATCATTAAAGAAAAAAAGAAAAAAAATCAATTTACAACGTCCGAGGTCGAAGAGGTGGACGGGGAGTAGAGAAAGAAGAGATACAGGCTAGTTAATAAAAGAATCTTTGTAGGTACAGACATTTTTCAGTGAATGTTCACTGTGTGCTTTATCCAAGCTGATTAGTTAACCAAGAACAAGAAAATTCAAACTGTATATAAACAAAATTCCTCAAATATTGTAATAGAACAAAACCCACTTCAAACCAAAATTAATAATGAGCAGCAAAACAGTCTAAAAAGCTGTATATGAGAAAAGCATCATTTGATTTAGATGAAAGATGTTTTCACACAGTGTACATGGAGTGGATATGAATGAACAATGAATTGTCACCTCTACAGCGTGGAGGTGAACAAATGTGAATTATAAACACTTTCAGGGAGAGAAAACTGTTCAAAGAAACTCCCAATTTTAAAAAAAAAAGAAAAGGACAGGTGAGGTTACCTCTGCGATTCTTCAAAAAAGGTCACCTAGAAAACCACTCTGATGCTGTGGTTCACTGTTGATTAAAAGGAGTAGCTGGAAGGATAATTGATGCTGCAATTACACAATATCACGATTCTGCAGTGTGAAGAAGGCAGGTCTAAAATAATCGACATGAACTCCAGCTCGAGCCCACCGGCTCTCATCAAATCAGTCCCATGCAGCCATCCATGCAGATACCGGCTTATATCTTTTTTTGCAGAGGGCATCCTCGTTAAATGTCGAATCCATCTATGTTGCTGATGAATTGTAGCTTGGAATCGCATCTGGCCAGATAAAGGGGAAGGGGGGGGAGGGACATGTTTAAAATGGAGATGGATGTCCGTCGCTGCAAGGCCGCTATCCACAATTCCTCAGGCCCTGGCCAAACTTGATGATCGGGAATACAACCACTCCTCTTCTTCAGACAGTTGCCATAGCAACTAAACTTCCTGATTCTTGGCCACTTTAAAAAAAAGCCACTAACAAAGACAGCAGGGTCCTCTATCCAGAGAGGACACATCTCCTTGTGTTCATTTTAAATCCTTCACTAAAAAAGGGGTTTTCTGTTTTTGATCGAATGTGCACCTGAAACGCTCTGACCTTTGAGCACTTGTGGATAGAGGACAGCTGAAAGCGAGCGGAGAGGGGACAGCAGAAATAAAGCAATGGGAGGCAGAAGGATGAGCAGTGAAGTACTTACTTCCCTGTTAATCCGAATCTACAGGGTCCGAGGTCGAGGAGGTGGGATGGGGAGTAGAAAAAGAAGACACACAGGCTAGTTAATGAAAGAAGCTTAGAAGTTACAGAGAAGTGGGAGGTCTGTGAGTATGCAGAGATGTTTGTGCAAGGGCTAAAAGTTATGTTAGTGCAAATAAAATATTAGTTTATGTAAAGTTATATATTATTTATGAATTTTTGTTGTTGTGAAATAAGCATTGTGAATCCTTTCTTTGTTGTTATACTCAAATACCATATGCTGCTAAATACAACACACACACATATGTATATATTCATAAATGTGTGTGTGTGTGTGTGTGTGTGTGTGTGTGTGTGTTCATCAGCCAAACGGTAACTTTCATTGTCTTGACTTAAATATCAGATATATCATAGAGAGAACACAGTGAGCTGTATATATATATTTTTTTATTTTTTATTTTTTGCTTTTTCATATAAATAAAAGCACGAAAGAAAGCATGTAGTTATTTCAAAAATGAAAAAAGTTGTTTGCAGCGGTACAATGCCTGGAGTGTAATAACATGGGGAAATCATGTCCAAAAACTGCCAGACTTTGTTATTATACTGTAGGTGAGGGAGAATTCCTGTTGTGAAATCTTTCGGGAACTGAGCTGTTACAGGAGAGTTGTTTTAAAAGTAAACATGACAGAGAGCAGAGCGACTCCTAGCAGACTGGAGTGAAGGTTTAAAGGTTTTATAGATAGATAGGTAAACTTTTTCACTTTTTCAAAACTTTGGCAAGGAAGCAATACAACTTCCTGACTGCCTTGAGGGGACATTGAGATATTGAAGCTGTAACTTGTGATAGAATAGATGAATGCTTTGTTGACATAATTTTTTGTCTATATCTTAATCAATGTCATTACCTGGAAATTACACCGGTATTAAATATTGATTATTAAAGAACTATTTGAAGAAAATCATTAACCATTTACAATGATCAATATTGGAGATGTTATTCTCTTCATTTAGTCTCTGCATGTAGAATAGGTCATGTGTGTGCACCAATTAGTATCTATTGCATACTTGCCAGTTTGGCAGGATTCTGAGTTCATAAGAAGTCTTCCTAAAATGAAGAATATTATAGACAACCTATAGATTACCCTCTTCAAATAACTGTTAACAACAACAGAGTGTCTTCAGTCTAAGGTTTTTCCAGATCTGATGCTAGACAGACTGCTAGATGCTATCTTTCCCATCCTTTCTTAAAGCCAGAGTATCAACATCTACTATAACTCATTTAGAAAAAAATCATTTAAATTACTATAATATTGAATTTCCCTTAGGGATCATTAAAGTATATTTGCATTGAGTTGCAATGAATGTTCTCAGCCTGTTTGTTACTGGTGCATTTTCATGCAGTCTGACTGTGAATAAGTTGGACTGCAAATATCTTTGAATTTATAAATAATTTAACATCGAATAAAAGTTAAAATAGTAACACCGTTGAAAAATGTCAGCACTTAATGTTTAAAACAGCTCTTTTTATTTAGGAGTTACTGCTATAGGACAGCAGGAAACAGGACTAGCACCGCTCAACCTTGTGCTATATCATATCAATTTTACCATATTAATGTTGCCATTTAATAAAACTGGAAAATGGAAATGCACTTATTTTAACAAAGTAAACCTCAAAAGACAGAGATAATGAGTTTATAATTAGGCATTATCCTTATGCTCAGATCTCAGAGGTATGGGCACCAGGCTTTCTCTTCAGGTTCTGAAATTTGTGGCCCCAGATTCATTCTATTTTTACATTTAAATGTTTCAAATGAACCTGGCCCTATGTAGGTATTTTACTTCACTGTGGATCAATTTACTCTTCTCTTCAATGCAGACTCAGATGGTATTGTGCATTGACTGTTTGTGTCCTAAAACACCCTCTTCATCATACTTAAGTGTGAACCTTTACTAGGCTACTGAACTAATGGATGGAAATCCCCTACATGAGCAAAATTTAAGGTTCCATTAGTTAGAGCAAGATGTCCATGTTTTGTGGCCCACATAGCTGTGTTCCCGAGGTGCCTACCATGAAATCAACCCCTGGAGGAGACTAGAATTAGGGATCTCAAGCTAAAAAAGTCCTACCAAGTCTTATTGGATTGTGGGGCCCCTGAGGCATAATTGGTACTGTAAGGCATCAATTATGTTACCAAGGTGGAGATGTTCAGAGAGACCATGGAGAAAGACTATAGATGAAGATTAAAGGCATTCTGGTAAACTATCCTGCTCCTCCAGAAAGGGAAGCACTGGTTGGCTAACATTTTAGTCAAAGTTGGAAGCTGCTGACCTTGACAGAGGACATTGTTGGAAGACTTCACACCTTCCCTGGTGGAAGCAAAAACTGGACGCTCGAAGTTGAACTTTTTCATCCAGGCCCAAGTCACCAGGGTGGTCAAAAAACTCAGGTCCCTGTATAATGTTCAGCTGTCGTGGTTGAAACAAAGTTTCAACATTATATTCCAGTTTAGGAAATAGCTTCCAGACTGGGGTGGTAGTTCTCCTTCATAAGAAGGGGGGCATGAGGGTGTGTTCCTACTAAAGGGAAATCACGCTTCTCAGCCTCCCTAGAAAGGTCTTTGCCAGGGTGCTGGAGATGAGAAGTCTACTGTTTGTAGAAGGTCGGTTTCTTGAAACGTGGGGTTTTCCCTACTAGTCCACGTGTGCTTTTTGGTCCTGGCAAAGTCATATGACCACATCCCTTTCGATGCCCTTTGGGGGGACACTTATGGAGTGCAGAGTCCTTGGTCCTTTACCAGTGGACATCCTGTTTCCTTATAAGCAAAGCAGAAGTCTGGCCCATGTTACCACCTGGTAGACCCATTTCTGGTGCATATCAGACTACGGCAGGGCTGCCCCCTGTGACCTGTCCAGTTCATAATTGTTGGTTAATAGGAACTGGCTTGGTCATCACAGCAATTAGTAATAGTCTTGTGATTACATGCTTTTCTGATATACCAAAGAAGCCTACAGTCTTCAATGGCTTTAGAACTGTTTCCCTGACATTCCACATCGTGATGGTCCTATGGACACTGGTTTATCCACCTCCGCAAGCAACAAGCAGCTATCAGCACAACCTGCCGTTTTCCTATTACCGTAGAATTGAACTTGAAGATGTCATCAATCACCTGCTTCAATTAGACAAGGCAGTCTGCATAGTGAGGTTCTTTGATTTCTCCAGTGCATTTAACACAATTCAGCCGGACTTATTTCATGGAAAACTCCAGAAAACTAAGGTGGAGGCATCAACAAATGCCTCGATTAAAGACTACCTGACAAATGGATGGTTAGTGAGAATGAGGGATCAGGTCTACCCAGGTAGTCGGTGGCACAGGAGCACCAAAAGGGACACTCTCACCATTCCTTTTTACTCTGACTACCAGTACCAGACTGTCATCTCCAGGAGTACAAGAAGCTGAGTACAGAGAACTAGCAGACTGCTTTGTGGCATGGTGTGAAAGCAATAATCTGAAATTAATGTGAAGGAGATGATTGTAGATTTAAAAGAAACAGGTTGAATCCTGTTAACATCATGAAAAAAAAGTGGAGTTGGTGGAGTATAACGACCTCGGACAACAAACCTGACTGGAGACAAAACTGTGGAGTTATCTACTAAAAGAGGGCAGGCAGACTGTAATTATTATGGCAGCTTAGGTCTTTCTGTTGTGGAGAGTCACTTCCTCTATCCCCTGCTGGGGTAACAGCATCAGAGCAAATGACTTAAAAAGCTCAACAAGCTAATAAGGAAAAACGGCTCTGTTCCAAGACCTCCTCTAGAACATCTAGATATTATTTCACAAAATACTATTCTTCATAAAATGTGTAAGATTGTGGACAACAGTGTGGATCCATGTTTAGAAGATTGTTAAACAACCAAAGACTGTCTTCAGTTAAAGGCTGCTCCATCTGGTTCAGGGAGACCGATAAAGAAGATCCAACTTTAAACCCAGGAAAGGTTTTCATATAAATTTCAAGTACTTAGCTTTCCTCATTCAGTCGCATCATTACAGAAAAAACAAACGAGTTGTATGTGAAACCATTGAGCAGTTATCCAAAGTTATTGTTTGTTTTAAATAACTCAAAGAAAACCTTTAACACCTAAATAAGTTTTAAACATGTACTATAGCTGGATGCATCCCAACAACAGTCCACACATCTGTCATATTATGACAACAAAAATCTGTTGACAATCCAAGAGCTTAATGGTTTATTTTTATTTGTACTTTGGGAATATAAAGTCAGACAAATTTTCCAAATAAGCACGACTCGTTTTAACAAAGATCTGAAAAGCTTCGGCACCAGGGTTTAAGGTGGGCATGAGCTGGGTACCTGCTTCATAGGATAACTTCAAAACTACTACATCACGTTTTACAGTTTGACATCATGCTGTGATGTCAAACTGTAAAACTTATTTTTTTTTTATAAATAAAATCTAATCAGAAAGAGTGCAACAGAAGAACACAAGCACCACTAGAGAAAGAGTGTTGTCCGCAGTGCAGGATGTGTTTTCAAACAGTGACAGCCAGTGGAGATGATGCATAGATCTACAGTATAGGTGCATCACTCATCACTATTTGCTAAGCAAATGAACAAGCTACCTTTGCCATCAGGCATTAGTGAAACAAATGCTAACAACTTTTTACTGAGACAGCTTTGTGATTATGTGGGTCACAACTTGTCTCTCAGAGTGTTCAAGTTTTTGGAGTGTATATTTGATTAGTTTTAAGAGAAAGTATCAAATTACTTGGTAGCAATGTATTCTGTGTGTACTTCTTGATCATTTTAATTTCTATTGCTTCTTAGTGCATGTATCATAAATAGATATACATATAATTATTTGTATATAATTTTTTTCTAAGTTGAACACAACTGCGGAATCTACAACACAATTAAAAGTTCCAACATGAAATGTCATTCAATAAAGAAGATGTCTGTTGTTGTGCAGTATACCCTGATTTATTTCATCTATTTAAGAAATGAAAAGCAATCATCCTATCACATATAAACTTTTTTTATCAGTAGTGCTCACTTGTGTTAGGTGCCAGAAGTCATAAGTGAGAACCTGCAGGAAAGTGAGATTTTAGCAGACACGTGTGATCTAAAAACAGATCCCACCAAATATTAAAGTTGACTCTGACTATAGAAGTTCTTTTACAAGGTTAATTGTAAATGTAGGTCAAATTCAAATTTCTGTCTTAATTTTCTTTTAGATCAGCGACAGATCTGGCAACAACAGGCCACCCATATCAAAAGCTGAAAACCAGCTCACAGCTCAGCAAGCAGTTCATTTTCTTCCCCTTTCTTTTTTAATGAAGATATGTCAACATTATAAGCACTGTAATAATAATGTTGGGAAGCCTTGATATTTTTTCTTAAATTTATCATATTGTCCTTTTTTTTTTTTTTTTTTACCGAGCCATACCTAATTAAGGGTAATGATGCAGTGGAATAAGAGTGGGCGAACACTGATCATTGGAAGCTACCATGGTTCCTGTAAAATGTTGCTGCAGTTGAAACTTGCCTAAAGAAAACATTGCAAACTTAAAAGTAAGGAAACAAAGAGCTTTTACTTTCCTCACACTGTTCAAAGCACAAATGTGTTTCAAAGGAAAGAAAAACTTTCCAATTTGACCTCTGCTAAAATAATAACAAGGTATCTAAAGTATGTTCCTCTGTGGCTGAGGAGATACAATTCAGTGAGCAGGGGTCAGGGCAACCGGAGAGTAACATCTCTGACACTGAGACTGTAAAGGCTGCAGAGTGGTGTTTTTCCACTAATGCCTGCACTTCTGCACCCTAGACACTAATGGAGACCCTTACAATAGCTACAGCCCGAAAGCAGCCAGGTTTTTAGCACCCTCTCATTGTGACAGCCGCTCTAAAAGCACGTCACCGCTGACCTTTCTCCACAATGAAATAAAAGAGAGGAAATACTCTTTAACTCCAGTGTCAAGCAGTCTGATGATAAAACTTGGTCAAAAAAAGGAGGATTCCAAAAATGAAGCCATCCAATACCAAGATGCAGCTGGACATTTTACCTTTAATTAAAGGTAAAGGAGTGGTAGGTATTTTTTTTTTTTTTATATATCAAGTACAACTATTGTTTACAGAGCTGGTGTCCTCTAGCCCCTTATCATCTGCACACAGAAGTGGGAATGCAACAGTCTCAAGATCTCTCCGAGTGTCATATTTACTTTGCAGAATTCCCCAAGAGACGCGTGCAAAATAATCTTGGGAGATAGAGAAATCAAATCAGATTTCTGGGCTTCCCTCGACACAACTCAAATAAATGGCAACAACTGTGGACTATAATAGATATTTCACTCTGGGAAGCAAACCGCAGGTTTCTCTTTGCAGCAGAATATATATATTTTCTGCCTCCCTGATGAACCGTTCCACAGATGACCAAAGAGCACTTTAAGATGCACCTTGGGCTTTTATGAACAAAAACACAAATGAATGAAACACATCAACAACACATGTATTTGTTTTTACACCATGAGCAGTTAGTATATTACTGCAGTGCTGCATGTACGACAGTTAAACGGATCATCTCCAACTGCCTCATACAGAGATTGAATAACGTCAGTGGCGTCTATTTAATTTGGGGGGATTTAAACTGTGGGGTCTTACAGAGAGGCTCATCTCCTCTACAGGAATTAAATGCATTTTTTTCCACTCTGTATTAATAAAAACGATAGCAGAGTTGGCCGGGGTCAGGGATCTGCAGCAGCACCTGACAATGATGGCATCTGGCTCAACCCTGCGGGGGCCGGTGTTTGATTGGATGGATGCTCTAAGGTGGAAGCCGAGCAGCAGTATGGTGAGCTTATGAGAGAGAGATGGGCCATGGTTTTGCAGTATGTGGAAAAGAGCTTGAGATTGGGGAGTTTTAAATTTTGAAAGGGAACAGACTTACGTCAATGTAGTTAGCGTTGATATAGTCTGAGTTTAGATCTCCCAGCAGAGGGTGGAGCTTTACTCGGTGACGATCATCTGGGATGAAAAAGCAGAGAGAAAACATTTAAAAACAAGGTGTCACAGAACTTGTTTTACCAATTAAATGCTTTCAATGACATACATCCCAGCAAGGTGTCGTGCCTCCCTTTAGTTTTGTCCTTCTTTTTAGTGCAGTCCCAGCCATCGAAAAAGCTCTGTAAATATGAAAATGAAATAGATTTAGCATACAGAAAAATATTTTCATAATAGAGGAGAATAAATTCCACATGGAAAAGGATTCAAACACCTTGATATCCTCTAGATCAGGCATGCCCAAAGTCGCTCCTCGAGGGCCACTGTCCTGCAGGTTTTAGCGGTTTCCCTCTCCACCACAACTGTTTTTCATTGATAGCTGATTAACAGGCTTTTTCTAAACTGCATTCATCACAAAAGGCTGTTGCACTACAATTAGTTTGCCAATCGCCATAAAATACCACAACAAGAAGAAGAATGAGGTGTGCTAAGACAGGGAAACCTGCAGGACAGGGAACTCGAGGAGTGACTTCGGGCATTTGCTCTAGATTGTGTACAATTTGAATATCAAAATTGAAGGTTTTTTGATTGGTGTATTTTCATCCCTGACCACACAAGGTAGAACACATTGTGCAGCAGAACAAAAATGATAGATTGTTTGCAAAATGATTTAGAAAACAAAAAAAGTTTCATGAATTAGCACTGAGGATCTACTAAAGTCAATCGGAATCACTTGCCCTCAGAATATACCAACTTACCTACAAACAAATATACAGCTACTCCAAGTGGTTGAATGTCATACTAACACAGGTTACCATTGTGTTTGGTCTACTTTGATGTTGGCTCGCACCTGGTTTCAATAAGTCAATTAAACAATTAGAATAATGTCTATCTTTATCCTATTTGAAGAGTAAATCTGCATCAGCTATAGTTGGCCTTTCGAAAACATCATGACAGGACATGTGACAACAGAAAAAAAATAGGAATAAATAAATTACTAAAATACAAATTAGACAAGTCAAAAAATATCATTATCAAATATCAAAATAAATATAAATGTGCAAACTTATCTCAGAATCAGTCCCTATTTGAAAATAGTTTTTTCTTTGGACAGTGGAATTTATTTGAAATATGAAAATATTAGGATATCAAATAACGGTAAATAAAAAATAAACACCATGGCAGATGATCTGTAATTCAGGGTCAGATTCTAACAGAGAAAAAAAAAACATCCAGCAAAACCTTTTTGACCTTTTAGCTAACCTACTGTAAGCTACATTTTTAGCACTAACCCTTTGATAATCCCCTTGGTGTTGGTTAATAGCAATTTTTTAAAAGTTCATCCACAGGGTGGGGGCAGTTCTGTTTTTTCATGGTTTCAGTGATAATATTTGGGGTTTTTTGTGTTTTAGTAGATGCTGCTGTTTCACAAATTCTAAAAGCATGGTAATCTTTTTGCAGTGAATTTATTCAAACCATTCTCTTTGCTTCTCAATCGATTCATGATAAAGATTATGCTAAATAGAGCATAATAGTTTTCCTGTTAGGTTTCAGTTCTTGGGCCACAAAAACAACAGATGCAAAATCACCAAGGAGAATAAGAAAAAAAGCATTTCTTTTTTCCATTCTTCATTTAAATAATAGTACTGTACTTGAACAACAGCTAAGCTCAGCTAAGTTGTGCAATAAAGATGTATCATAATCATGCAACTTAAGTTAAAAAGAAAACCACATCACTCATTAGATATATGTTGTTTTCTTTTTTTTTCTTAATACAGCTGCACAGCGGGTAATTCATTTTTCCTTTTCTTCTGCAAAACAACATATCACCAGCCCTATTCATACTAAATTTAGCACAATCGTTTTAACAGCAAAAGGGAACAGCATTAGGGACATGCCAGGTAATTTACTCTGGCTATAAACATGCATATCTAAATACATAAAGAAAGGCTATCTTGCATTCAAGGTGCTTAGTTTGAAGGGATGCTCCCACAGTTGGCACCAGTAGAAACCTTAATGAATGCGTTGTTAGGGCAACAGATCTGTTTCAAACTGAGATTTTAGGTATTTTGTGTCAAGCAACAAACAAATTCATCCCTGGATTTTCTGACAATGGTTATAAGAAATGTACTCAAAACTACCCAAAAAGAAACAGTCAATGTTTCAGGAAATAAACCTGAGACATACAAAAAGAAAAAATATGATATAAGTAGGCTTTAAAATTATGAAACAAAATCTGACTTGTGAGACCTATATGAAGGAATGAAGACTTCCACATATTATTATGTATCTATAAGAGACTACTCCCAATAGTTTCTGCAACTATGGAGAAATTTGGTACAAATTCTGCACAAGTCTGAATGGGTAGCAGGGGATTACAACACATTTCTCCTCACAGAAAGCCAAGAAGCATCTAAATCCTGCCTGGGATTACATCCTCCCCCTCACTTTTTCCCTCCTCTTTCATGCGCTGCCTCTATAGATGTTACTTTCTGAATCTCAGAAATTTTGTTCCCTCCCTTTTACTTCTTGGCTTCCTTCCATGTCCACCTCTTCCTTCTTGGCATGCTTTTACTTTTGACAGAACATCTCTAAGCCCTGTTTTTGTCTCTTCCCACCTCACTGACACTAAGTTCCCAAGCGAGATGACAGAGATTATTGGGGACTGCAGGGAAATGACAGTTCTTTGAAAGAAAGCAAACGAGAAGCAGAGAAGAGCTGATTGCATTAATTCACTGCATACATCTTAGAGGTGAAACGGTTGCAATCACCCAAAAATCGAATTACATAACTTTGTAGAGCATAATGATATATTTTAGTTTAAACATTTTTGTTGCGTCTTTCATTTATTGTTTCACCCCAAAATGTCACATATTCAAGTTAAAGTAGGAACAAAAACATATCACCAGCTGTTCTTTTTTATAACAAATCAGCAGAGTTCCCAGCAGTTACTGATATAACTGCTCTGTGGGTTAGTTTTAAATGACTCTATCAGTTCTCCAAGCCAAAAGTGTTATATTGGGACATGTGAGTTCTACTCAGCTGTTGTTTGGTTGAGGCTCCGAAGGGAATATGAAAGCAGTTGTCACACAAGCAATCCCATTTACTAGCAGACAGTAAAATCTTGATCAGAGTTTTTACAGAAAGCAGGTATTCCCCAGGGAAATAAAAACCTATGCCTGCAGTGTGAGTCTAATATAATAGTCCTCATGATTTTCCTTCATAATATCGAGACACAATCCATCAAAACACACACTCTTAGCGCAGAGAGGGTAAAAAATACAAAAGAGGTGTGTATTGATTTTTAGAGTGGAGTGTGTTTTGGCCGTGAGGGACCATTTAATGAGTCTACAAGCAGAGTTCCAGAGGGGGACACCATGTATTGGAGACAAAAGGTGTTTTCTGGTGCCTATGAATGCCACAGGCTGTGGGTGACAGAGATGGACTCCTCCCCAGGGAGCTAGCTAAACTCTCAGCCACAAATAGCTTCAAGGATCTGGGTCCTTCATTGTGTTGGCTGAATAATAAGGCTTGATGCTATGGCTGCAGCGTTGGGGCTGAAAAAGCTTTGTTCAATGAACTTTTCTGTGCTGATGGGTCGATGAAGGATAAAACACCCATGACGCACAGGGTCCAAAAAGCCTTCCAAGAAATCTTAAAGTTTTTATACAAACAAACTTAGTGAAACAGCCAGAGGGTATACAGTGCTGTAGGTTTTGAATTGGGATGATCCAGCAAATTTTCAAAGGTACTAAAAAAGTTGTTTGTAACTGGCAAGTATTATCGTTCATTAAAAAAACAAATACAAGAAGTTAAATTAACCTCAGAACAGTAGACCTAAGCAGACCCCGAATCGCCTGCATATAAAATAGCATGCATCCCTTTTTGCTCTAGAGGTGGGATGTGTCTGGGATGATTGTAGATTATCCATTATCCTCACAACGGCACTTTCAAAAATAAGATGAGAAAAGCACTGATTAATTAGCCGACAGAAAATAAGCAGGTGAGTGAAATAATCAATGCCCCATTTGAAATGGAGTGTTCTGAAAAAGAAGTGCCTCACAACTTTCACCTAAAGCAGAGGTTTAGTGTGTAGTTCTTTGTGTACATGCAGCTGGTGTGTAACAGGTCTTGAAGTTATACAAACTATGGTTGTCACGATACTAAACTTTTCAACTCGATACCGATACTAAGGAAAATATTCGATACTCGATACCATTTTCGTTACCACAAGAATAAAAACTCAAAATTTCAACAGAAATATTTTGATAAATAATAAATACAATAAAAATAAGAACAATATTTTGAGGTTGTATGCTGTGCACAGTATTAAGCAAGCTTGATAAAAAACTTACAAAATTAAAATTAAGTTTTCCTTCCTTTGCTATGCTTTGCACACATAGCAATGACATTAGCCAAACCGGTTAAGAAACAAAAATAATTCTCAGCAGCTGCACCTGTCACAAAAAAAAAGTCTGAAACTGAAAAGTGCACAGAATTATTCAATCACACAGTGTTCAGAAAGTGCATTTTCCTCTATTCTGCACTTTAGATGAATGACTGTTTAGGTGCCACTGGGAGTAGCACTGTATCGATACTTTAGAAAATGAGTATTGTATCCGGATACAACGGTTCAGTATCGATACTTTTTTGAGTATCAATACTTTTGACAACCGTAATACAAACTCCCAATTTGCAACAATATTACTTCCTCTTAAAAGAAAATGCTGTCTATCATTGGAAAGATTAGTTTCTCTAGTTTCATACGGTGCTGGATATGATGGGTTTGACTAAGAAGATGGGTGTCTTCTGTACTTTTTTTTTCACCGAGTCAGCCATGTCTAAAGGACCTGTACTGTAAGTGTGCTTGCTTATGTTTAGATTGCTCTGAAGCCACAACCATTGGCAACTTGTTTAGAGGCATTAATGCCCTCTAATGGGCGTAGATTAAGGGTAAATACATGTGAGCATATTTGACCTATTTTAGGGATGGCTGGGTAGAAAAAAAAAACATTTTTTTTAATCATTTAATTTTTTTCAATCTTTTCTTATGCCCTGTATTTATTGACTGCCCCTGAAAAAAAAGGCAATAAGAAATTTTCTGGACTAAAAGCATGCTGCCATGGCGACACTAACAGGGTGTGATCACATGTTCTTCTGTTTGTCCTCTCACCCTGTCAAG